AAGTAAGTTCAGAAATTTTAAATTCTTGTTACATTAAAAATAATGAACATTTTTTTAACATGATAATATACACTATTTTAGGAACAATATGATTAAATGCAGACTATGGGATTCACATGTGGATGATGTACTGCCCTATTTTACAGACAATGTTGATGGCCCTATAATTATTCTGTTGCAAATGTGTAGAGCAAAGCACTTAGACAGTAAGTTTCACCTCCCTGTTACAATTATTTTATACACATTGCCGGCCTACCTAACATAAACATCTAACAACTTATCTCTTAATTTCAGCTGAAGTCAGAATATCAAGTTCATATAATGGAACTAAGGTTTGGATAAATCATGATTGTCCAGAGTTTGAAGTATTCAAGGCTAGGTAAATTTTACTTTTCCATCAATGGATATTTTATTTTATTTAACTATCTGACCATTGAAACTTTTTCCAGTTTGAAGGATAATCAGACTCCTATTAGGAGTATGACCAATGTTTCAACATTTTCATACCCTAACAGTTAGAAATATTCTAGCAAGAGACCTATGATTGTCAGCACCATAGCTGGAATTTATAAAAGGGCTGAGGTAATAATCATTACAGTCTCTTAGTGGTATCCAAATAATATTTTTAGATTCCTATTTGGATCATTTAACTCTCTGTTCTATTTGACTAAAATACAATAGCCAGGCTATTACCATATTCTTGGAAAAAAATCACTAGATTAGAAAGTGCCAGAAAATGGTACTACTATTCTTGTAAGACAGCAGGTTGCTTTAGAAAACTTGACCAGAAAAAGGCATTACTATGGTGTGACACATGCAAAATTAGTTGGCAACTAGGAATTCCTAGGTACAGGTTGGGTGTTAGAGTTTCTGACAAGTCCGGGTGTGCTGAGTTATTAGGATTGAGTGCTTATGATCTCAGAAACAAATTAAGTTTTTTAATCCTTCAAATGTGTCCAAATTAAGTTTTTTAAAGAGAAAACTGCAATTTGACATAAGTACTAAAAAAACAGCCAAATTAAAAAAGTTTACGTACATAACTAATAAATACTTGTGTGAATGAAATTTATTTCAGCAGTCCATTAAAATAACCAAAAAATGGTAAGTTAATATCAATAATTGATCAAAAACATTGCCAGATTGTAGTTATATGGAAAAATTCATAAATAATACAAGTAAACAGTGAACTATATAAATAACAAAAAGCTATAAATTTGCATCATAATCAAAATTCATCACATGTCATTTTTTTTAAATAACTCCTAGGTATTTGACACAGAATTACATTGAACTATAGCACTGCCATAATGTTGGACATGGCCATCAGAATAAGATTTCATCATATGTCAATTTCGGCAAGTAAATGGTTAGTAAATGCAAGAAAATACGTAATGCATTTTTGTTTTCCTATAAAATGTGTCCAGATGAATTTTTTTAAAGACGAAAACTGTTATTTGACATAAACACTTTAAAACAGACAAGTGTCACAAGTCCATTCAACAGTACATTCAGTTTTATCAGTCCATTCAAATTACCAAGAACATGCTCAGTTAACAACATAAATTTATCAAAAAAAAAACAAAAAAAAAAAAAAACAGATTGTAGGTAACACACACAAAAAAAAAATTAAATAATACAAGTCATCAGGGAAATATATAACTAACATAAAGCTACATATATTAGCATCAGAATCAGAATTCATCACATGCAATTTTTTGCAAAGAACTGCTAGGTATTAGATACAGAACTACATTGAACTATAGCACTGCCGTAATATTTTACATGGGCATCAGAATAAGATTTCATCATATATCATTTTCTGCATGTAAATGGTTAGTATTGGCTACATATTTAAGTAAAATCCTTCTATATACTAGAAAGACAAATTAATTGCAAAGCCGGAATACTAAAAGACTTTTCTTATTCCCAATAAGACTAATCATTAATGGGAATCAAATTCTTCTCTATATCAACTGAAAAATTAACTAATTGCAGTCTAATTTACTTACAAACAAATACTTATTCAAGCATGCTCTGCACATAAGCTACCATATTACACACAAAGGAATATTATTACTCACTCAATGAGGAAGATCATTACATCAACAGTCATCCGAGGCAAAAGAAAAAACATAACAACTCAACCAGGTAATATACATTTTGTTACCTATAATGATTTATCTGCATTGTTCTCTTCGACAAAATATCGAGTTAGTTTTTTGCGTACAAAATTTTTAGGAAGAACAAATTAAACACATATTACAGTTAGTTTTAAACACGGATATGAAGTTATAGATTTAAACCTATAAACATGGTTTGTATAAGAACAATTTTTAGATAACAAAAATACCTGTTTAAGCAGATCTGTACATCCTTCTTTGAGATCTGGTGTGTTAAAATCCGGATTTAGCAACAGAGAACTGTAGATCCGTAGACAACTACCAAAGAAGATCTAAAATGTGTACAACCTCCCAATCAAAAAATTTCAGACCACAACAGCTCTAGATCTAGGAAGAGAACACAATTGTGTGGTAGAATAGCAAAATAACGTATGGGTTTAGCGAATTAGACAAGAAAACGAATAGTGTACATTGTCGGAGATCTGAAAGGAAGATAAAACCAAACACTCATTCTACGTTTCCAGATCTGGAAACCTTAGAACTTAATAGTCTGTGTAATTGTGATGCCGAGAAATAGAGTTTACAAGAGTAGATGTTTAAGCTAACGTAGAATCAGTGAAGGAGGATCAAGAATAGTAAATGATTACATACAAGTCTAGATAGCAGTTTACACAGATAGAAAGAAGATCGGAAATGTCGAGAAACCCTTCTTCTCAACATTTCTTCTTTATTTCTTAGAAATGAAGTCTTACACAGCTTGATGGATGATGGAGTACATTACACGTGTTGATATAGGTTGGCATATTTCACTTTTTTTTAAAATAAAAAAACAGAATTGGTTTAAATAATTAAATAATTAAATAATTATTTCTTTAGTCTTTATAACATTTAACTGCTTACACAGTCATTTTTTAAATAAATAATCTCATGTTAAATTGGTACTAAAGAAATTGATGTATTAATCTAATGTTCCTTAACTTAGAGTTCCAATTAATATATATATATATATATATATATATATATATATATATATATATATATATATATATATATATATATATATATATATGTTGATTTATTTAAGTAAACTCAAATTGCGTATTTAATATGGCAGAAGATGAATATTTTCAAAAACAATCTAGCAATCTGCAAAATCATTTGGATAAAGAGAATCATATCAACTTTATAGATCAGGACATTTCAATACCATTACAAGAATTCAACACCCCGTCAAGCACTCAAATGGGTGGTAAGTAATTATTCTTTTCATTGTATTTTTTGAAAATGAAATTTTGTTTTATTTTAATAGAAGGATTGCTTTTTCTTGCTCTTTTGTTCAGGTAATGAAAACAATCATTTGTCAGGCACTTCAAAGTCTATTTTGACATGCAACAACACTTCAACAACGAATAAGATGCGTGTACTTAGACCTCTTCGTAATTCAATGGATATCCCATCTAGCACCGTGACTAATGGTATTGGCGTATTGTTCTTAATTTGTTAAGTCAATTGTTCGTTAAACATTTTATATATTATGTACAATCTTTTTTAGATTTTTAAGACTATATCATTGTTAAATACCGCTACAATGTAATCATTTGTAAAATGTTATGTTTTAAAAATTTGTAATTAATCTTTAAAATTTCTATTTTCCAATAGTCCCAGGTTCTTATACAAATTCAAGAACATGCCGACAGACAATTAGGGAAGTACCGAATGTTAATCAAAATACTATTTGTCAACCGTTTCAAAACAGCATAAACGGTAAATTTCATAAAACTCAATAATTGGATTTTTTAATGATTTTTCTCATTCATGTCATTCATATTCTTTTTTTAATTTTTTTTTATTTCACACATTTTAGATTCATGTGTTGTTAATCCAACCTTAACTCAAGGCAATGTACGGTTGAATCGGTTGTTAATGCCTGAGTTTGACACTGCCACTAAAGAATCAACTTCTGTTACATCTTTGCAGAATGGTTAGTATATTATTTTAAAATTTTTGGAATTAAATATATATGTTGTTTGATTGCTTGATTGTGTATATCCAATTAAACAAAAACTAAAATTCGCAATAATTTATATAGGTACATATTTCGACTTTGGTGATCCAATATATTCATGTGACCATTGTAGTGCGGTGTTTTGGATGGAAGAAAGGATCAAACAAAATTTTGGGAACTTCAAGACCAAAGTATTCGCTTTGTTGTACTCACGGGAAAATAAAGTTGCCTACTAAACCAACTCCGCATGCTGCTATATTTGATTTATTTTTTAAGAATGACAACAAGAGTAATCATTTTTTTTACAAAATATTAGGTCCTACAACAATATGTTTTGCTTCACTTCAATGGGTGGAAAATTTGACAGGACTCTGAATAATGGTACTGCACCACCCGTTTTTCGCTTACAAGGTCAGAATTTTCACCTTTTGGGAAGCCTAATGCCAGAATTCGACTCTAGACCAAAGTTTGCTCAATTGTACATTTATGATACTCAAAACGAAATCCAAAATCGCAACAATGCAATAAGGTACGTCAATTACACTCTCTCTCTCTCTCTCTCTCTCTCTCTCTCTCTCTCTCTCTCTCTCTCTCTCTCTCTCTATATATATATATATATATATATATATATATATATATATATATATATATATATATATATATATATATATATATATATATATATAATCTAATTCATTAGTTTTTACTGCAATATGCTAATTAAATATATTTTGTGACAATATACAGAGAAGATGATGTTCACAATAAACTACATGCGGATATAGTACAAGACATAAAAGCTAGACGCATTAGATCAAAACAATGTCTTAGTAAAAAGTTTTCGCATGGGAAGAACAGAGATTGAAACAAATCCAATGGCAGAGATTAAGATCAAACTAATAGGAAAGAGGAATAAGGATGCACAAACATATAATTTACCGCAATTTAGTGAAGTTGCGGCTTTGATAGTGGGAGACTTAGATCCAAATATGGGAGAACGTGATATCTTGGTGGAATCAAGATCTGGTATTTTTAAAAGGATTAGTGAATTAAACCCAGCCTATCTACCACTACAGTATCCATTGTTATTTCCATTTGGTGAAGACGGATATAGAGAGGACATTAAATTCTCAGGTGTTGAACAACAAAGCCGACCTGGTTGTATTAGGATTAGTCCTAGAAAATACTTCTCATATTATATTCAAGATAGGAAAAATGAGATGTCAACATTGTTGTTCGCAAGAAGGTTGTTACAGCAATTCCTGGTAGATGCATACACTATGATTGAATCTGGACGTTTAGTATATGTTAGGACCCACCAAAGATCATTGAGATGTGAGTCTTATAAATGCTTGACAGATGCTCTGACCCGTGGTGAACTTGATCCGTCTGCTCAAGGTCGTAGAATTATTTTGCCTTCAACTTTTACAGGTGGTGCAAGATATATGGTGCAAAATTACCAGGATGCGATGACAATATGCCGATGGATTGAATATCCAAATCTGTTTATTACATTCACATGTAACCCAAAATGGCCTGAAATTGTAAGGTTTTTAGAAGAAAGGAGATTAAAGGCCGAAGATCGGCCAGATATAATATGTCGTGTCTTTAACATGAAGTTAAATGCTCTAATCAAGGAGATTCGTAAAGCAAACATCTTTGGTTCTATTCTAGCAGGTAAATATTCTATATGGTAAAGTTTTAATAATTATTTGTTTATTAGCAAGTACTTTGATCTATATTTCAAAATACTAAATTTATTAAAGATTTTTTTTTTTTTAGTGATTTATACCATTGAATTTCAGAAAAGAGGTTTACCGCATGCGCACATATTGCTGTTTCTAGCAAATCATCGTGGGTCTGTTGCTGCAACAGATTTAGACAAATTCATTTCAGTAGATATTCCAAGTGAGTTGTGCGATCCAGAGTATCACAAAGCAGTAGAAGAATTTATGATGCACGGACCGTGTGGTACGTGTAGGAAGAATTCACCATGCATGGTTAATGGTAGATGCTCCAAATACTATCCAAAGAAATTTGTGGAGAAATCAACAATGGATGAAGATGGTTATCCTGTGTACCGTAGGAGTGACAACGGTAGGACCATAAAGAAAAATGGTATTGATCTAGATAGCAGATATGTCGTTCCACACAATAGACATTTATTGGTGAAGTATAGGGCTCATATAAATGTGGAGTGGTGCAATCAATCCAAATCAATTAAGTACTTATTTAAGTATGTGAACAAGGGGAATGATCGTGTTACTGCTGAATTCTACAATAGTGTTGCTGATGAAGCTACTGGAAAGGTAATCGATGAGATCAAAATGTATTATGATTGTAGGTATATTTCACATTGTGAGGCAGCATGGAGGATGTTCGCCTTTGATATACAGATGAGGGATCCGTCGGTAGAGCGCTTAAGCTTTCATCTACCAAATGAGCAATCAATCATATTTAATGATGATGATGTTGTCAATGACGTTGTTAACCGTTCAACTGTGAGACAAAGTATGTTCACTGCATGGTTTGATGCTAACAGCAAATACAACGAGGCAAGAAACTTGACTTACGCAGAAATGCCAACAAAATTTGTATGGAAAAAAGATAAGAGAGAGTGGCATCCAAGGCAAATGAAGTTTGCAATTGGTCGTATTTTTTATGTTCCGCCAAATAGCGGAGAAATCTTCTATCTTAGATGTTTACTAAATATTGTGCGTGGACCAAGATCCTTTGATGAAATTAAATATTTTGAGGGGGTGCAGTATACTTCATTTAGAGATGCCTGTTATGCACATGGTTTAATCGAGGATGATAAAGAGTATGTTGACGCGATCAGTGAAGCAGCGATATGGTCCTCAACACATTCTTTACGTAAATTGTTGGTCACTTTATTGACATCAAATTCAATGGCAAATCCAGAAAAAGTGTGGGATATTGTTTGGCAATACCTAGCTGATGATGTTGAGTTCAATGCTAAAAGAAATACAAGTAATCCAGGTAAGCAATTCTTCTTCAAAACACTTACTTAAATGTACTTTTTTCCGATATATATTAAACTAATTTGTTTATAAATTATATAGATTTGATGCTCAATGACCAACAGAAGAAAAATGGGGCACTCATGGAAGTGGAGAAGTTGTTGAATGCTTGGAACAAGTCTCTAAGTGATTATCCACCAATGTCGATGCCTGTGGAAAGTCAAGAATACTATTTCGGTAATCGGTTATTGTACGAAGAATTGGCGTACGACAAAGAAGCTTTGAAGCTAAAACATGAATCACTGTTTTCTAAACTAACTGATGAACAATTACTCATATACAACAAAGTGATGGTGGATGTTGAATCTAATAAAGGTGGTTTGTTCTTTGTTTATGGATATGGTGGAACCGGCAAGACATTTTTATGGAGGACAATGTCGGCTGCTTTAAGGTCAAAGGGAGAAGTTGTTTTGAATGTAGCATCAAGCGGTATAGCCTCACTACTTTTACCGGGTGGAAGGACTGCACACTCAAGGTTTTCTATCCACATTGCAGTGAATGAAGACTCAACTTGCAACATTAGCCAAGGTAGTCCACTTGCTGAATTGATTATAAAAGCTAAGTTAATCATATGGGATGAAGCTCCGATGATGCACAAACATTGTTTTGAAGCATTAGATCGGACAATGAGATACATATTGGGTTTCACCAATCCAAAAAGCTTAGAAATGTCTTTTGGTGAAAAAACAGTTGTACTTGGAGGTGATTTTAGACAAATACTACCAGTTATACCAAAAGGCAGCAGACAAGATATAGTACAGGCAAGTATAAACTCATCATACTTGTGGAGTAATTGCGAAGTACTACGCTTAACAAAGAATTTGCGGTTGCGTGGTATTTCAAGTGCAAAAGAAGTTGAAAAGTTAAACAGTTTTGCAAAATGGATTGCTGATCTAGGAGATGGAAATTTAGGAGAAGAGAAGAATGATATCTTCAATATAAGGATTCCCGATAATTTTGTTCTAAGAAATGAAGTTGACCCCATAGCAGAAATTGTCCAAAGCACATTTCCTTCGTACGATCAGGGTCAACTAGATCATAAACATTTGGAGTCTCGAGCTATATTAGCTCCAACATTAGATGTTGTGGACAAGGTGAATGAATACATGAACAGCATGAATGAGGCAACTTCCAAGACATATTTGAGTTGTGATTCGGTTTGCAAGTCAGATACAAATGCTGATATGTTATCAGAGGTTCACACTACAGAGTTCCTTAACAGTTTGAGATGCTCTGGTGTTCCAAACCATTCTTTAACATTAAAGGTTGGATCGCTAATTATGCTGCTTAGAAATATAGATCACTCCTTGGGATTGTGCAATGGTACAAGGTTGATCATTACACAATTAGGAAACCATGTGATTGAAGCTCAAATTCTGTGTGGAAACAATGTAGGCACCAGGGTACTAATACCACGATTGAGATTGACTCCTTCTGACCCAAAACTACCGTTTAAATTTCAGAGGAAGCAACTTTCAATAATGTTGTCATATGCTATGTCAATAAACAAGAGTCAATGACAAACTTTATCTCATGTGAGACTACTATTAAAGAAACTCGTGTTTAACCATGGATAGTTGTATGTAGCAGCATATCGAGTTAGTAATCCAAATGGGCTAAAAATCTTAATATGTGGAGACTCTGCTGTGGGTTTGAACACTACAGAAAATGTAGTGTACAAAGAAATTTTCAATAATTTGTAATTTTTTACTGATATTCAATGTCATATCATAATGCTATCATTGTTTTGTATATATGTAACAGTTTTTTTAAATTTAGAAACGCTGCCAATTTTGAAAAATTGTTTATATTGCCACTATAATAATAAATAAAATTATTTTCAATTTATTAACATAAATGCAATATTTTCAAATTTATGTCCGTGCATCGCACGGGTGAAATACTAGTATTTATAAAATTATGAACATATAACTCTATAATTATGAATGTATAGAAATTATAGAAATTATGAATATGAAACCGTGTCCACCTTACAAGGTGGGCACGTTTAGTTGTGGGCTAAGCCTAATTAAGTAGGCCCATAACCTTTTCTTCATTCAAACCCAATAACTTTTGGGCATGCCGCCATGTCTTCTTCTCCGATAGCCGAAAATGGAAACCAAGAGAAGTGCCTTGTCTTCTGCGTTTTCATTTTTCAGTAACTTTAGTTCGAGAAGAACGAGGAGAGGAATTGCAGCGGCAATAGGTACTTCTTCTTCCTTGCGTTCATTTCACTCTTGCCCTGAAAATGTTTCTTCTTCGTCAAATCAAAGTTACTCACCTTATTCCAACCTACCCGAGTCCGGAATAAACTTCAATCACGTAAGCAATGTAGACGATGCCCTGAATTTGTTCCGTGAAATGGCTCATACCCGGCCCTTGCCTTCCACTATCCAGTTCACTAAACTGCTTAGTAGAGTTATGAAAATGAAGCATTATTCGATTGTTGTTTCCTTCTTTCAAGAAATGCGCATTAGGGGTATCCCCATCGGCGTGTATACCCTCAACATCCTGATCGATGCATTCCGCTGCTCGAATCGAGTGGATTGCGGGTTTTGTGTGCTGGGTCTGTTCTTCAAGTGTGGGATTGAGTTTGATGTGATCACATTCAACACCCTACTCAAGGGTCTCTGTCAAGATCACAAGATTGTGGAGGTTGTGGAGCTATTCAGGAAGTCGATGAGGGACAACTTGTATACCCTTAACACCTTTAACATTGTAATTGATGCCTGCTGCCGATCGAATCGAGTGGATTGTGGATTTTGTGTACTCGGGATGCTCGTCAAGTGTGGAATCGAGTTTGATGTGATCACATTCAACACTCTGATCAATGGTCTCTGTCTAGATAACAAGATTGCCGAGGCTGTAGAGCTATTCAAGAAGTTGGTGAGGGAGAACACGTGTGAAATCGATCATATTACCTATGGAACTCTTATATCTGGACTTTGCAACGCGGGTTATGCACAAACTGCTCTCGATTTACTCATGCAAATGCCAAAGGAGGGACCTAAGCCTAACACTATAGGCTATAATACTCTGATCAAGGGTCTGTGTCTCGATAATAAGTTTGTGGAAGCAGTGCAGCTATTCAGGGAGTTGGTAAGGGACGATGTGTGCAAGATTGATGGAGTTACATATGGTACTCTTATAAGCATGCTTTGCAGGGCAGGTTATACACAAACTGCCCTTGATTTACTCAGAGTGCTGCAAAAGGAGGGTCCTAAGCCTAATACTATAGCCTATAACACTGTAATTGATGCTCTATGTAAAGAGGGAATGGTTGATGAAGCTCTCAACCTTCTCCCTGAGATGAATGGAAGTGGGGTTCCCCCGGATATCTTCACATACACTTCATTAATCCTAGGGCTTTGCAATTTTAGTCGATGGAAAGAGGTTAGTAAGTTAATGAACGAGATGGTTCTTCATAATGTATATCCCGGTGTCTATATCTTCAATATATTAGTGGATGCCTTTTCCAAGGAGGGGAAGTTGAAAGATGCAGAGAGTATAATTCAAATCATGATTCAAAGAAACACTTATCCTGATGTGGTTACATACAACACTCTTATTGAGGGATATTGTCTGCAAGGACAGATGGATGAAGCAAGGAAAGCTTTTGGTAAAATGGTGGATAGAGGCATCCAACCTAATGTTAGGAGCTATAACACTTTGATTAATGGATACTTTAAAAGAAAAGAAATGGATGATGCCATGCATCTTTTTCATGAAATGCCTCAGAAAGGGATATGTCCTGATGACGTTACATATACCACAATCTTGCAGGGGTTATTTCTGGTGGGTAGATGTTCTACTGCAATAAAACTTTTTCAGGATATGCAGGTTTCTGGACATAACCTTACTTTTCACACTTTCTGTGTCTTACTTAAAGGTTTATGCGATAATGGACACATTGAAGAAGGAATGTCTGTCTATCATAAGTTAGATAGAAATGTAAATTGCCCTCTTGTTTTTAGTAACATCATGATAGATGGATTGTGCAACACTGGACGGCTACATATTGCACGTGGTATATTCAATAATCTCCTTTCTAAAGGACCACACCCCGATGTTCAGACATACAATACAATGATAAATGGACTTTGTAGAGAAGGATTGACAGATGAAGCCTTATGCTTGTTCAGGAAAATGGAGGAGAATGGTTGCCTACCAAATACTGTAACTTATACTATTATTTTGCAAGAATTTGTGAGAACGAAAAAATGTTATGAGGCGAATGTTCTTTTTGATGAAATGATTGGTAAGGGTATTTCTCCAGATGGTTATACATTGTCCTTCATGAACGACTTGCTTGCACTTGGTACTGGACAGGAGTCGGTACTAAAGATGATCCAGAAATTTGCAGCAAATGATGTAAAGTAACTACATTTGTAGAAGTTTTTTGCTTGCTGTGCTTGCTCATAAGTTCATCTAGCACCTTGAGGAGGACACAGAACCAGCTGTACGCTGAGGAGGACACCCTACCGGCTGTACCCAACAGATTCCACAAGCTTGCATCTGCATATATACTTTTAACAAGAATATAAGATAATACTTTTCGGTGGAGAAAGATAAAATGCCAATGCCTCTTATGCACTCACTTACCAGGGTTTTCTTGAAGTTAAAAGAGTACAATTGAGTGAAAAAAAAAAAAATTATTTAATTCTTGCAAAGTAAGATCCATCTGACATTCTAGTGATGCCAGCTGCACAAGTATTCCTTGCACGATCGATGTAATTGACTGATTGTTGATTTGATTCCTGTTACTGCTGGAGCTAAGGAAAGCACAAGGAGGTTAGGAAAACGCGGCTGGGATTGGTGGAGATAATGGCTTGAGTCGAAATTTTGAAGGAAACACAGAATACGGGTCTTGCAAGATGCTCTGAGGTGTTTTCTTCTGCTAAAGATGCCTTGCCTGAGCCTCAGAAACTTGTGGAGTTTCACAAGGATTTTTCAAGCCAAAGCAAAATCCATTTCAAGCCATTTAGCCTTATGAGCCAGTAATTTCTCTGTTTATGCAAGGGACACATCATTTCTAGTTGTGATGGTCCCTTCAGTTTCATATTCTTACTTTTTATTATTTGGTGATCTGTGTTACTTTGTTTTACTCTTGTGGATTGTTGTTCAATCTGTTGATTTTAAGAAAACAAAATGAGAGTCAGGTTTTGCAGTAGCAGATCTCTGCATATTATTGCAATCTACAATTTTTCAAAATACTAATGTAACGAAAGTGATAAAATTGCTGTGTGTGTGTGCTTTTTTAAAAATAATTTTTCTATGACTAGAAGGTGAGTGATAACTACTAACTCTGCCATTCATCAATTTAACCGATCCTTGTAATGTGTTGAAACCCTAGGCCCGTTACAGTGGGCCCATTAGGTTGTAGCTAGTTTTCAGTATAAATTATTGTAATCTGTACAGTTCTACGTTGAGAAATAGATGAAACCCTTCACACTTTCACATGGTATCAGAGCCTAAACCCTAAATAGTTTTTCCCCTCTCTTCCCCGCCGCCGCGCCGCCGCCGCCACCGGAGTTTCACTGCCGCCGCGACTGGTCTTCTCTCTCCGTCCTCTGCCTGGTGGTTCTTCTCCCAAACCGAGACCACAGGCCTCACCGGAGCTCCGTCGCGAGTCTGTGCCCAGAGTCCGATCGCCATCCGCCGCCGTACGCGCCGCCACGCGCCGTCGCCGTCGCCGGGAACCGCCGCTGTTTTCCGGCCATATCTCTCTCCTCCGATCTCCGATCGAGACGCCGTCACCACCATTGGACTCGTCTCGACGAGACGCTTCCGGGAGTGTTGGCCGTTTTCCTCACCACCGCCCGCCGCCGCCGTTCTCCGGCCACCGCCGCCGCCGCCGCCGGTCACCGCCGGTCAGAGAGAAACAGACAGTGTGTTTTTTCTTTTTGGGTAATCTCTATGGCTTCCTTTACCTCTTATCCCACCATTACTATGGACAAATTGGTTGGGAGTGAAAACTACACTTCGTGGGCCGCTTCTGTGACACTCTGGTTCAAAAGCCAGGGGATGTCTGATCATCTAACCAAAAAGGTTGGGGAAATTGAAGAGTCGAAGAAATCAGATTGGGAGAAGTCAGACGCGTTATTGTGCAATATGTTGTGGCAATCCATTGACCCTAAATTATATCTTATTTACAAGTCTTATGACACTTGTTATGATGTGTGGAATAAAGCTAAGTCATTGTATACTAATGATATCCAAAGGCTATATTCCCTTGTATCTAATATGCTTAATTTCCGTTCCACTGATGATATGAGTACACAGGATTTCTTGGGTCGGATGGAAGCTTTACAGCAGGAGTATCATAATTTACTTCCATATCAGGAGACGTCAGAAAGTCATATGAAGCAGTATGATAAGTTCTTTATGGTGATGACCTTGGCTACCCTTCGGCCTGACCAGGTTCACATTCGTGATCAGATTTTATCTAGTCCTAGTGTGCCTACCTACACTGACGCTGCTGCCAGACTGCTTCGTATTGCCTCAACTCCCTCAGTTGAACCTATTGGAGAGTCATCAGTTCTAGCTACTCGGGCTGTGGATAGAGGACCTTCTGGACCATCTAGTGGTGGTGGTGGTCGTTGTGGCAAACGTCCTCGGTGTGAATACTGCCACAAAGATGGTCATACCAAAGATCGTTGTTGGAAGTTACATGGTCGGCCTCCCCGTTCTGTTAATCTGGCCCAGGCTACTGCATCCGAGAGTCAGACTCATGAGCCAACCTCTACCCCAGTTGAGATGACCTCTAGGGAATATGAAGAGTATCTCCAACTTAAAGCAGCATCCCGCCTTGAATCTTCCACACCTAATGCTGGTACTTCCTCTTTGGTTTGTCTTTCACACGCCAATACTCCAAACTCTTGGATATTGGACTCAGGTGCTTCAGATCATATTTCTGGTAACCTTTCTCTTTTGCATAATGTGTCTAAGTCTAAGACTTTACCCATGGTCACCTTAGCTAATGGTCATCAAACACCAGCAATTGGTGTTGGTCAGGCTTCCCCTATATCGTCTTTTTCCTTGGAGTCTGTTTTATATGTCCCTAACAGTCCCTTCAACCTTATCTCTGTGAGTAAAATTACCCGTATTCTCAATTGTTCCATAACCTTTTGTGCTGATTCGGTTGTTGTGCAGGATCGCAGTACGGGGAGGGTGATTGGCACCGGCAATGAGTCACAGGGCCTCTATTACATGCGGGGTGGTGATGTTGCTACTTCTGCCTCTACAGAGTCTCCTTTACTTATTCATAGTCGTTTGGGTCATCCTAGTCTCTCTAAACTAAAACGGATGGTCCCAGGTCTGTCTGTTGAGTCTTTTGATTGTGAGTCGTGTCATCTTGGAAAGCAATCACGTCAGTCTTTTCCGAGAAGAGTCAATAATCGGGCTACGTCCCTCTTTGATTTAGTTCATTCAGATATATGGGGTCCTTGTCGTGTCAACTCTATTTTGGGTTTTCGTTATTTCGTAACCTTTATTGATGATTATTCAAGGTGCACTTGGGTTTTCCTTATGAAAGATCGTTCTGAATTGTTTCAGATTTTTCAAACTTTTTGTGCTGAAATACAAACTCAATTTGGCAAACTCATTCGTGTTTTGCGTAGTGATAATGCTAAAGAATATCTCTCTCATCCTTTTCAGTCATATATGACATCTCGTGGTATATTGCATCAAAGGTCATGTGTTTACACACCTCAGCAGAATGGGGTGGCTGAGCGTAAGAATAGACATCTAGTAGAAATTGCCCGTACTATGTTGTTACACTCCCATGTTCATTCTCAATTCTGGGCTGATGCTATCCTTACTGCTTGTTACCTGATCAATCGCATGCCATCTTCTGCTCTTAACAATGACACCCCATATTCCATTGTGTGTCCTTCTGTTGATCCTTTCCCTATTCAACCTCGTGTTTTTGGGTGTGTTTGTTTTGTTCATGACATGACTCCAGGTCGATCCAAATTAGATCCTAAAGCAGTCAAGTGTGTCTTTTTGGGTTATTCCCGTGTCCAAAAGGGTTATAGGTGTTATTCTCCAGCACTAAAGCGTCACTTTGTATCCGCAGATGTCACCTTTATTGAGTCCACACCATTTTTCCAGTCCTCATCAGGAGACACGATCCCTGTCTCTGAGGTGCTCCCCATACCTTATCTTGGTCCACTTCCTCTTGTCCAGTCCACTGTTCCTCCAGCTCAACCGACTCCTCTTAACCCGCCCCTTCAGGTTTATCACCGGCGTCCTCGCCCTGCAGTTCCTGAGGTTCCTAGTGACTTGCCAGTGCTGTCCGATCCTCCGGCTGCGGTTCCACCACTTCCACTGCAATCTGACACTGATCTCACTGAGGCACCTATTGCTGTTCGAAAAGGTACACGTTCTACTCGTAACCCCCATCCTATATATACCTTTCTGAGTTATCACCGTGTCTCGTCCCCTTACTTTGCATTTCTTTCTCACCTATCTTCTGTGTCTATACCCAAATCAACTCGTGAGGCTCTCTCGGATCCAGGTTGGCGTCAAGCCATGTTAACAGAAATGGAGGCCCTCCAGTCTAGTGGCACGTGGGAGTTGGTTCCTCTTCCTCCTGGTAAAACTGTGGTTGGTTGTAGATGGATTTATACGGTGAAAGTGGGTCCTGATGGCGCAATTGATCGTCTTAAGGCTCGTCTGGTGGCAAAAGGCTATACTCAGATTTTTGGTTTGGATTATACTGATACTTTTTCCCCGGTTGCTAAAATTGCTTCAGTTCGTTTACTTTTGTCTTTGGCAGCCATTCATCATTGGGACTTACACCAGCTGGATATCAAGAATGCCTTTCTTCATGGTGATCTTCACGAGGAGGTTTATATGGAGCAACCACCTGGGTTTGTTGCTCAGGGGGAGTCTGGTATGGTATGTAAACTTCGCCGTTCTTTATATGGTTTAAAGCAATCTCCACAAGCTTGGTTTGGAAGGTTTAGTTCTGTGGTGTGTGAGTTTGGTATGACAAGAAGTGCAGTTGATCATTCTGTTTTCTATCGTCATTCTAATGAGAAATGCATATACCTTGTAGTATATGTGGATGACATTGTTATTACAGGGAGTGATCAAGAGGGCATATTTCAGTTGAAGGAGTATCTCTTTAGTCGGTTCCAGACTAAGGACTTGGGTAAGCTAAAATACTTTCTTGGAATTGAAGTGGCTCAATCTAGCAGTGGTGTTGTTATTTCTCAAAGGAAGTATGCCTTGGATATCTTAGAAGAAACTGGCATGCTGGACAGTAGACCGGTTGATAATCCAATGGATCCGAATGTTAAACTCCTACCAGGACAGGGGGAGCCATTGCCTGACCGAGAGCGATATAGGAGATTGATTGGAAAACTGAATTATCTCACGATCACACGACCGGATATCTCCTTCGCAGTTAGTGTGTTGAGTCAGCTTCTTGAGACACCTTGTGATTCTCATTGGGATGCTGCTGTTCGTGTTCTAAGGTATATCAAGAGAGCACCAGGACAAGGCTTAGTATACGAAGATAGAGGACATTCACAAGTTGTTGGGTATTGTGATGCAGATTGGGCTGGTTGCCCGTTTGACAGACGCTCTACTTCAGGTTATTGTATTCTCATTGGAGGTAATCTCATATCTTGGAAAAGTAAGAAGCAGGATGTGGTTGCTAGGTCCAGTGCTGAAGCAGAATATCGAGCCATGGCGCTTGCCACATGTGAGCTTATGTGGCTTAAACACCTACTACAAGAATTGCAATGTGGCAATGTTGCCCAAATGACGTTGATATGTGACAATCAAGCAGCTCTACACATCGCGTCAAATCCTGTTTATCATGAGAGGACTAAACACATTGAGGTTGACTGTCACTTCATTAGAGAGAAGATTGTGTCAGGGTGTATTAAAACTAGCTTTGTTAATTCTGCAGATCAGTTAGCTGATATCTTGACGAAATCCCTTAGAGCTCCTAGAGTTGAATATATTTGTAACAAGCTGGGAGCTTATGATCTATACTCTCCAGCTTGAGGGGGAGTGTTGAAACCCTAGGTCCGTTACAGTGGGCCCATTAGGTTATAGCTAGTTTTCAGTATAAATTATTGTAATCTGTACAGTTCTACGTTGAGAAATAGATGAAACCCTTCACACTTTCACATAATGCAACATATGATATCTATTGAAGGATTTATTTAATCCAGATAAATTGAATGGAAATCTAGGTGTAATATTGTCATAATTGCATTGGAAACTATGTAAATGTTTGTTTGTTTTTTCTTGTCTTTTTATGAGAATCTAAAGTTATGTTGATTGATTCACCAAGACAAATGCCTCCTTGTTCTGCAAATATGTACTAATTTCCGTTACCTTTAAAGAATGTTTCTTTATTTTATCATACCATACAAAACCATAGCCATTATAAGGCCTCTCTGCCCTGTGTTATATTACATTGAATCAGCCCCTACCCCCATCCCAAGTAGTTGTTGATATCAGGCCATGGCTACAAGCGGGGTTAAGCTTCTAGGAGTGCCACCAAGTCCTTTTGTTAACAGGGTGCAGATATCCCTCAACCTCAAGTCAGTTGACTATGAATTCATACCAGAAAATCCACACTGCAAAAGCGAGCTCCTCCTCAAATACAACCCTGTTAACAAGAAAATCCCAGTTCTTGTCCATGACGATAAACCTATTTGTGAGTCACTTGTCATTGTCCAATACATAGATGACCGCTGGACCAGTAGCCCTTCCATTCTCCCATCTGACCCCCATGATCGCGCCATAGCTCGCTTTTGGGCCAGCTATATAGATGACAAAGTATTTCAAGAATTCTTTCATACAACATATTTTGAAATTTGGGAACATTTATTTCGTATGTTGTGATTTCTTTGGAAACTAAGAGAATGATTTGCTTGATTTCAGTGGTTTCCTCTGCTACATCAGTTGCAGAACACAGAAGGAGAGGAGGCAAAGGCTGCAATAGTGGAGAAAGTAACCGAGGGGGTGGTGCTGCTTGAGGAGGCTTTTGCCAAATGTAGCAAAGGGAAAGCTTTCTTCGGCGGAGATAGCATTGGTTATGTTGACATTGCACTTGGATCCTACTTGGGATGGGCAAAAGCCATAGAGAAAATTGGCAACTTCAAAATTCTTGACGAAACCAAAACACCTGCCCTGTGTCAATGGGCAGGCACGTTTTTGGCAGACAAAGCTGTTAAGGATGTTATCTTGGCGCCCGAGAAACTCATAGAGCTATTTATGACGATGCAAGCCCAACAGAAACCAGCTTCAAACTAATGAGTTTTCTCCTTCATCGTCGAGTAATAAGTATTCTCAGGCCAATCAATCTGTATTTTTTTTTTTGTTTGATGAATAATAACATGCACATGTAATAGTACACTCACAGAGTGAGTGAAAGTGTGCTTTTTTCTTCCCTGCATAATAAATGAAAATCAATATTTCACATTTTGACGAGTTATCTTGACAGCAAATTCATTGTTCCATTCTAGTTGAATCCTAAAGTCTTTTAGCTAGGATGTCTGAAACAACCTTGTGGTTTTGATGTAACTAACCATACCAGACACCAATGATTTCAATTATTATTTGCCATCACTGATCTGACCCGAAAGCACGCACATGTTCAATACTGATGAACTCGGTTTTTGTTTAAAGGTGCCTGTAAACCTATCTAATGCTCGAATTTGAGAGGATTTTAGTTTCTGTTAGAATCCCCTGTGACCCAAAACTCAATGGCAAAATCAGGCATTTGGTCAGCCTAAAATGATGAAAATGCTAAATTGAACCTCTTTCTGTGGATCTAGCAGCAAGGAATATTCTTAATTCCCTCTTGTCTGTGTTGTTTGCAGGTGGTTGATTAAGGAAACTTGTTGAGCGGAGGACTGAAGGGCCCGGTACAGCACCCTGCCTCTCGAAAATATGGCAGTATAAGGAAATAAAGTTGCGTCTTCACTACTAGCTAAAGCTTTTGGCGTAGTGGTAAGCGTTTGATCCTAGCAAAACTCTCGTTATTGCATCTTTCTTGACGTTTCCAACAGTTTATGCATCTGTCATTTGAAGGTCGGGCAAAACAAGAACAAGCTGTCAGCCTCTGCATTGATGTTTGGGAAACAGACATCTTCTGAGTAATCAAAGAAGTCTGTCTTTTTCACAATGATAAAAAGAATGGTTATGCTGCTATCAAACACCATATCACATCAGCTTAAATATATATATATATATATATATAACTAATCTTGTGCATTGTTTTTCAAGAAATTCTGCAGGTGAAGCCATGGCTGGAAGTGATGTCAAGCTTGTAGGTATAAGGCCTTGCCCTTATGTGAACCGGGCGCAAATCGCCCTCAACCTGAAGTCTGTAGAACATGAATTTATCGAGCTGAATCCATACACAGACAGAGACATGCTTGTGAAGTTGAACCCGGTTCACAAGAAAATCCCGGTTTTGATCCATGAAGAAAAGCCGGTCTGTGAATCCTTGATTGTTGTTCAATACATTGATGAGGTCTGGACTAATGGCACCGCCATTCTCCCTTACGATCCCTATGATCGTGCCATTGCACTTTTCTGGGCATCCTATATTGAGGAAAAGGTATGCATATCAGCACTTCACTACTTCATTCACCTAACCCGAATGTTGAGGACTAATTTGTTACATGTAGTATCTGTTCATATATACTTTCTCAATCTACTGAAGCCCACCGAGTCAATACCGCCCCCACCGAGGCTCAAACACATGATCTCCCATTTGAGAGAGTCACTTCATGCTGTTTGACCAGAAAGCTGTTTCTTCATTTCTTGTAGTTATATATGGTGTAGTGATTATGCTGTGATCTTATAACATGAATGGTTTTTACTTTTTAGTGGTCTCCATTACTGGGAGAGCTTAGGAAGGCTGAAGGGGAAGAAGAAAAGGCAGCATTAATGGAGAAAATATGGCAAGGGATGGCATTATTGGAAGAGGCTTTCCTAAAATGCAGCAAAGGGAAAGCTTTCTTTGGAGGGGATAGCATTGGCTATGTTGACATTGCTCTAGGAGGGTTCTTGGGGTGGATAAAGGCGACGGAGATATTGGCCGGCCGGAAAATACTCGACGGAGAAAAAACCGCCGGCCTCGTGGGATGGTCTGAGAGGTTCTTGTTGGACAAAGCTGTTAAGGATGTGATCATGGAGCCTGAGAAACTTGCAGAGATTTATCAGAGGTATCAAGCATCTAAGGCAAACTAGCCACAACTTCATGGATCTTCTGGCTTGTTGCTTTTTACTTTTTACCATTCATCTCGGGACTCATCAAATCTTGACTGAATTAATTATATCTAGTCCTATTATATCACCTTGTATCTCGAAGCATTAAAATATAACAAATTTCTCATGTTATTGTAATTCTCTTTTGTGGTAATTATTCAAGTTAGGTCGGTCAATTTATAGTAATACTAAATTTTAAGAGGTATAATACTTATCACTAGTGATATCGTTTTAGACCAAATTTGAACACTTTGTAGTATGTACACATGATTTGAAATAAGAAACATTGATATACATTCTCTTAACCGGATAACTTAATATTGACAAAGACATTTTCAATATGATGGGATTTAAACTTTCTTGACGTAAAATTAGATGACCGATTCAATTTTATTTATTCCTTAAATTATCTATGGATTAATGATATTGTAATCGTCAAATATACTATAAACACGCCACACATCTAACGTGTGTAGTACCTTGCAAGTCCTAGTGGAGAAGCCTCTATACTAGTAAAGGTGGATGTTTTAGCACCTCCATAATCTTGATGCACCATATAATTAACGATTGTGTTTTGTGCTCTCTCTCTATATATATGTTTTATGTATGAGGTATAATCCCCGTAGGTCTGGTTGTATTAGGTATTTTGAGGATAAAAGGTTGATAATGTAAATACATTCAAATAACATACATAATTATACTTGATATAAAAGACATTAGGATCAATATATGTCATTGAAACCAAACGTACATTCTACTATCAAATGACCACAAGGGGCTCAAACAAAGAAATAGACACTTTACACGGATGAGAGTTAAATTTGAGACCTTATAATTATCGGTCAACTATTCAACATTCTTTGAGTATTTATAGTACATAATAATATAACTACATTTTAAAAATATTATTTTTCTGTACTAAAATCATTCTTCACGGGACAATTTATTATTTTAATCAACTAGTATTTACGCTTGTGCGATGCACGGAATGGATTTGTTGTAATATATTAATAATATTTGGATCGATATATAATTATTTAAATTAGAACATCAAATATTATATAGTGCAATTGGATGTATGGTTTGTACCGTTTATGTGTGTTTATGTTATTAATTGCTCAAATTAATAGCTAATATGTAGATGTACGCATGCGGTGCTATAATTTTGGAGATTTTATTTATCATTATTCAGTATTTTTATAAATTAGTCAAATGTGCTCGTTCTCTAGCAACACAGTTATAAAAATGAATTGATATCCTAATTTATTTGTATGGAAAATATATTTTTTTTGTCTAAATATATAGCAATTTTGCCATTTAAAAAACATAATATCACATATTGTATTTACACACTATTGAAACCTCTTTGTAGACAACATTGGTAGTAACAACACAATCTTGTCCATCTTCGTCTAGAGCTAACACCTTTAGTCCAAAAGGATGGGTGACTCAGGTGAAAATAAATAATGGTAGAATTTCAGTCAATTAGTGATCCTTTTATATTTTCAGTCAATTAGTAATATCAGATTCATTTTCAGGCAATTATTCTTTTTATTTTCAGTCAATTAGTCAATTAGAATATCAGATGTAGTGATATTTTTACATATCCAAACCATATTTAATTGATGATGTAGAATAGTTTTATTGAAATATTTTCGTTCCATTTTTAGTTTACATTTACTATTGTTTAAAATATGTCTTTACTATTGATGTTGTAGAATATTATTATTGAAATATTTCCTTTCCATTTTTAATTTTTGATCCATTGTATAAAATTGTGAAAGATTTATGATATGATTGTGATTTGATTTAGTCTACTTTGTTATATTATTGTGAAAAATTAAAATACAAAAATCTTACAATTTTCTTTTCCATTTTAGTCAATTACGGATCATTTTTTATTTTCAGTCAATTATTAATATTCATTTCCTTTTCCAATTAACCTAATTTCTGTTTCTTTTTTTCCATTTTTAATTTTCAGCCAATTATTAATAATCATTTATTTTCCAATTTACCTAATTTTTGTTGCATTTTTAATTGATGATGATGTAGAGAATTATTGTGAAATATTTATGTTCCTTTTTTAATTTACCTTTACTATTTACTATTGTTTGTGCTGGAAATCAAGTAAATAGAATTTTGCTTTTAATTATAGTAAAGATTTTCCAGTAATCCAAACACTCCTTTAGTATCCCATCAAAAAACGGATAAAGAAATATCATTTCATTAAGAAAATTAAAGCTAATTAAAGTAAATCTAATCATGCTATATTTATTTGTAAATGTATATTAATTTCATTTTGAAATCATTCGTTCACATATTTGAATTATTTATTTTTTCTTTAATTATTATAAACAGAAATGATACTGTACTAATTAATTTATGATATTTATCAAATTTATTTTTTTAAAAATATAAGATTTACACATGTTATGAGGGGTTAAAAAAATATTTTAAATTTATTTTTTTATTAGTAAGTATTTTTATTTTTAAAATATTTTCCAGCGGCTCAAACACTCCCTTAGTCTCCCATCAAAAACTGATAAAGAAAAGTCATTTCATTAAGAAAAATTAAAACTAATTAAAGTACATCTAATCATGCTATATTTATTTGTAATTGTATATTAATTTTATTTTGAAATTATTGCATCAAATATTTGAATTATTTATTTTTTCTTTTATTATTATAAACAGAAATGATATTGTATTAATTAATTTATGATACTTATCAAATTGTATTTTTAAAAATATAGTGTTTTACCCGTGCATTGCATAATTTTTTTTTTATATTATGAATTTAAAATTTAAAATAGAAAACAATGAAAAGTTGTTATAATGTACAATATAATAATATAGTTTGACTTTTAAATATTTGGTCAAGTATCTATTTTCATAACACACAAAATTAAAATTAAAATTTTGTATGGTTAATATAATCTCTAATCATGTACATATTTAGATAAATTTATTGAAAAAATTCACATAATTAAGTTGATTTACTCCTAATTGTATTTCATATATATTATAATTCTAAAAAAATGAATACTAACTAAGAGAATTGTACTTAGAAATCAAAAATATATATATATATAAATTCTAAATTTTGTATGAATAAATTTAAACTCTAATCGGACGCATTTCCTTATATATTGTATAATACATTGTATATACACATAATATTTATTAATGTGTATATAGAAAAATTCTATAATATAATTTCATTAATTGGAATTTATATTGATAGATTTATAATTAAAAAATTACATTTAAAAATTTAAAAAGTAGCATTTAAATATTGTATGATTATTATAGTGCATAAGTGTATGTATATTTTTTTTAAAATTATAAATATTCATGTTTTGTTAATTTTATACTTTCATTTCTTTAATTATATTTTATATTTTATTAATTATAATTTAATGAAATTGCCACAAATATTTCTAGGGAAGAAATCTTATCTTTCTCAGTTTCAATAATTATACTAATTATAATTATCAAATATTGTGACAATTATCATAATAATTTCATTAATTATAATATTTGTTCTCTTCCAATCTTTAAATACATTACCATAATAATTACATGAAAGAATGAAAGAAAAATTATTAGAATAATTACCATTAAGGTAAGTATAATTTATTTTATGCCAAGAATATTATACATTAAGTATAAATATATATATATATATATATATATATATATATATATATATATATATATATATATATATATATATAGATTTTGAATCCTATATATATTTATATACTTTTAATTCTATATTGATAAGCATAGTATGTATATATACTTTAAGAAAATATTAATTATTGAAAAGAAGATATAATTTTAAAAAGTAAATAATTAATTAGATTACCTAATATAATTGTTCTACTAATTGATTTCATACTACTATGTATAATTCATATATTTTAAATTTTTTTAAAGCTAAATACTATTTTTTGAATGCTACTAGCTCTATTACATTGTAGTATCTGTTCATATACTTTCTCAACCTACTGAAACACAAAGAGCTAATAACGCCTCCACTGAAGCTCAAACTCACAACCTTCCAAATGGAAGTCCAACCCGGATACCATTGGACCACATAGTCCTGGTAGCTAAATACTATTAATTGCCTTAATAATTAAGATAATTTTTAGTCAATGGAGAAATATCCTGGGCAGGGATAAACATTGGAGTCGTAGAAAAAAAGCAAATTGAAAAAAAAATACCTATTGATCGTGAAACATGCACTCTCTAGATTTTATGGAATCACTCTCATTTCTCTATGGGACTTCATATAAGTGCGCACCAATTACAGTCTAATAGCTCTGCAAGTCTTCAATGGAAAAATATCCTGAGCAAGGATAAACATGGGAGCTGTAACAGTTGTATGTTAGTATACATATCTATATCTCTATATATAATTACTCAATATAAATAAATGAATATAAGGAAAAAATATTACCAATTAATAGATTTACTAATTAGGTTAATATGTGAATATGGAAACAATATTATCAAATAATAATTTTTAATTAATTTTTAGGGAAAATGGCACTTTTTACCCCTGAGTTATATACTTATAGCACTTTTTCTCCCTCAATTATTTAGGTAAGCACATTAGCCCCCTCAATTATTCTAAAAGTGGTGTTTTTTCCCCCTAATATATTAAATTGACATTTATACCCTTAAAATAAACATTTTATTTATTTTACTACTCCAACAAATTATTGCGTATACGTAGGGATGACCACAGTTCGGTTTGAATTGAACTGGATACTAAAGCAATCGAATTAATAGTTTCTGATTATAATTCAGATCTAGAACCCAATATTTAAATGTCAATTTATTAAAATTATGTATCAAAAAAATTGAATCTTGAACCGTGAACCGGCGGTTCCGGATCCGATTCGCGATTTTGAACCGTCTTTATTTTAAAATTTTATTTTTTATTTTAAAATAGTCTAAATTCAACAATAAATATATTTTATTTTTCAGTTCGGAACATGAACCGTCCGTTCCGGTTCACGATTTTTATAAACTCTAAATATCGAATTTCGATTCTAAATTGTAATTGGAATATTTCGGTTTGGTTGCTATAGTGTTTGTTTGGTTTGAACCAAATTATGGTCATAATTTGTTGGAGAAAAAAATAAATTAAATATTTAGTTTAAGGGTAAATATGTCCATTTAACATTTCAGGGGGAAAAACAACCACTTCAATAATTTAGGGGGAAAATATGCTATAGGTATATAACTCAGGGGGAAAAAGTGCCATTTTCCCTAATTTTTATTTTACATTTGGTTACTAAATAAGTTTTACTACAAAAGTTTGGGCGAAAAAATGAAATATGGGGATTTTACTTTATTTATATATATATATATATATATATATATATATATATATATATATATATATATATATATATATAAATTGATTTTTAATTTAACAATTAATCAATTAAGATACATTCATTTAGATTGAATTTGTTGAAGCATTCAAAAAAAAAAAAGATTGAATTTGTTGAAAGTATACCTACAAAGTATCTCAAATATTTTTCAATATAACGTGAGAAAGGTACTTGGTAGTATACTTAAGACGGATATCCTACCAAATTTTCAATGTTTAAGCCTACACAGCAACACGTATACCATATAGATATTCTTTTTTTCTTTTTTTTTTTTTTTTGATATAAATCATGATGTGTCACGGATTTTTTTTTTTTTTTTTTTTCTGTTCATCTTAGGATTCGGATCTATCAGATTAATTTTCATTCTCTTTGAGAGGCATATGAGCTAATTCGGAGAAAAATCAAATCTGAATTATCTCAAAATTTCTCTCCCAAACAAATTCATTTACCACTTGAACTATTCTATTAGAGGGTGTTTGGTTGGATGGAAGTCAAATTTTACGGAAAATATTTTTTTAAAAGTGTAGGAAAATGTTGTTTGGTTGGATGGAAAATATCTTCCATTGGAATTGAGTTCGTGAAGCTGAAGGAAAACAAAATCCTAACAAAACATTGATATTTTGTTTTTCAAAAGAATTGGGAAGAAAATATAACAATATTAGATTATTTTACCTTCATCAAAGTTTATTTTTTGAATGTTACTGACTCTATTACATTGTAGTATGTTCATATACCAAGACTATGTAGTCTATTGGTACCCGAGTTGGATTTTCATTTGGAAGGTTATGAATTCAAAGTTTATTAATTACACATGTATATATTATTATTAAAGACAAATTAATCTTTATAATCATAGTTCCTTACCATACCAAACTCAACAAAACAATAAAATTCATATTTTCAATAATTTCTTTTTCACGACCAAATAATAAAATTTATTTTCCTAATAATTTGTTTTCCATGAAATTTGAATTCCATTTTCCATCAAATATGCGAACCATATTCTATAGATATTCTTGTTATTGTTCGCAAAAGATTAACTTCAAACCTCCCACGCCCCCAAACCGACAGAGCAATTCAAGACTTTGTGTGTTGAAATGTTTGTCCCTCTAGCAACAAAACCCAGGAATCCAGGATACAGTATTCATTTCGTGCCCACTCAGAGAGAGAGATTGTAGTCTCAACCCAGAAAGAAAGATATGGAGGATGGAAGTTTCAAGGTTGATAAATGGGGCTATGGAGTCAAGACCCACTCAGATTCTTGTATTGCTGCAATCAACTCCTATTATGACCAGGTTCTTTCATTTCTCCCTTTTCTTCCCCAATTATTTTGTCTTGAGGGATTTCAAAAAAAAAAAAAAAAAAAAAAAAAAAAAACTGATTTTTGGGTCTATTTGCTGTGAAATGCTTCATGTAAAGTTGTAATCCAGTTTCATTCATCAGTTCTTGGCTCAAAATTTGTTTCTTCCTTTTCTGTACTGATTATTGGGGTTTGAGATTGCTGGGCAGAGCTGGTGAAGGGCAAGTCCAGAATCAGGTGGGTCCCCTAGCTGCTAAAGGAAAATGTGACGATATAAAGAAATAAAATTATATCATTCGCTATGAATTATAGCTTTTGGTTTAGTAGTAAGCGCGTGATGATGAAGGGTCAAGTTGAGTATTATGTGGCTAGGGATGGTTGGGCGGAAGTTTGAAGGGCCAAGTCCAATACAACGGGGCTAGAGATGGTTAGGTGAAAGCCTGAAAGGTCAAATTCAGTATCATGTAGCTAGGCATAGTTGGACTATTAGCTATAACTTTTGGTTTAGTGATAAACGCATGAGTTCAATTATATGTGGCTAGGGATGGTTGGGCGGAGGCCCGAAGGACCAAGTCCAATATCATGGGGCTAGAGATGGTTGGGCGGAGTCCTGAAAGGCCAAATCGAGTACCATGTGGCTAGACATAGTTGGACTATTAGCTATAACTTTTGGTTTAGTGTAAGCACATGAGTTCAGTACTATGTGGCTAGGGATGGTTGGGCGGAGACCTGAAGGACCAAGTCCAAGACCATGGGGCTAGAGATGGTTGGGTGGAGGCCTGAAAGGCCAAGTTCAGTCCCATGTGGCTAGGCATAGTTGGACGGAAGCTTGAAGGCCAAGTACATACTGGCCTCTCAAAAAATGTGACGGTATAAGGAAATGAATTTGTGCCTTTACTATGAACTATAGCTTTTGATGCAAGAATAAAGGTTTGATCCTAACAGAGATGGTTGAAACTCAGGTACTTGGCTATGGACGAGAGAGGTCAGTGATAATGGAAGCTCCTAAGCATGACCCATGTTGTGTTTTGGGTAACATTTTGGCTGCCCACTACATTTCCTCCAGTCATCCTTCTCGTGTCCCGCCGCTCCTTGAGGCTGCCAAGTCTAATCTTGTATTTCTTTCTTCTTTCCCTTTCTTTATTGGGTCCTTTTTACTTCTTTGATTGTTTGTCCATATTTTCATGAATTTTTTTTCTTTTTATGTGTTCTAGGAAAATGCTAGCTTGTATGAAAAATCAGTTTTTGAGGCTGTCAATTACTTGATTTCCCCAAACAGAGATGATGACTTGGCTGTAGAGTTACATTCTCAGGTGAACTATCCTTGGTATGCTTAAATTTTCTATATTTGGGGGGTTTCTTTCTAACATTGCTTTGAACACAATGGAGAGAATGCATCCCGGACTCGGGACAAGAAAAAAAGAAAAGGGAAAAGGGGAAAACGATACACTTTTTTTCAAAATTATTAGGTTTCGTATTATAGGTAATGATCATGTTTGTAATGTGTATCTTATGAAGTAGAGTTGTTCTAACGGGTGATTTTGCATTATTAGTCAAATAGTCAATTTAAAGTTTGGACTACACTGTAAACATAACCGAGAGGATTGATATGAGAAATGATGATTTGTGAATGATAAGGAAACTTTAGTGCAATCCGCGAGTTCATAGCATTTGAATTAATTCTTTCCTCTAGACTTAAGTATGTATTTTGATCCCACTTTAACAGTAGATGTTTTCTTTTACACCTGCAGTTGCTAAGAGATTTTCCAAAGGATTTGGCATCTCTGAAAAGGGCTCAAGTGCTATGTTTTTATATGGCACGGCCTGATCTGTCTTTGGAACTTGTTGAAAAGGTCGGTTTCATTGATAAGAAAATATGCACAAAGTTTAAATATTTCACTTGTACGTTTCATGGAATTCACGTTTACAGTAGTATTATCTGTCTGATTTGATTTAGCACAACAGGTCCTACCAGCAAATGAAGAAGAAAATTACATATATGGAATGCTCGCGTTTCCTTTACTAGAGCTTGGTCGATATCCTGATGCAGAGAAAGCTGCAAAGAAGGGGTTTGAGATCAACGGTGCAGATCCATGGACTCAACACGCAGTGAGTTATTTTACAAGCTAGTCCCTCTTTATAAATTCCCGTCACAATATTCAAATCAGTCATTTGGTGGATTATATAGTATTATACCCAACCTTGGATCCTTTGCTTTGCATAATTCTGTATCATTTTCTTTTTTTTTAGATTTTTTTTTTTTTTTTTTTTTTTTTTGGTGACAAGGGAAACCCGCAGCCACCACTCGATGGTGTGTGCACTGGGTAAATCCCGCCTTGTGACCTTAGCCGGTAAAGGATAAACCCAGCCTAGGTTACTCATAGCTGACCGGCTCAAACAAAAAAAAAACTGGGATTTGGATTTTTTTTTATTATCATTGTAAGTGATTATTCTCTCGTCTTTCAAACTAATTCAGATGAATATTGGAATTTAATTGCAGCTTTGCCATATTTATCAGTACCGGTGTTGTTTCAAGGAAGCAGTGCAATTTATGGAGAAGTGCTCGAGTTCATGGGGCTCTTTGTCATCGTTTATGTATGCATACAATTTACAGAAAATTTTACATATATTTCGCATATACTATATATCAATTATTTAGAAGTTACGTCTTAATGGTGCTCTTAATCAGGTATACGCATAATTGGTGGCATGTCGCCCTTTGTTATTTGGAAGGCCATTCTTCCTTGGAAAGAGTACGAGAAGTATATGATCGACATATCTGGAAAGAGTTGGAAAGAAGTGATTCTACACCAGCAGAAGTATAGTTCAAAGCTTTTACTTGAAGGTCTCTTACTCGCTTTTATATTTTGTCATGTTTCATCGCTTTTGTGCACGCAGGTATACTTGAACGCCATTGCTTTATTACTACGAGTTTATATACGTGATGCTATTGATGTCTTTGAGGACCGTTTAAAGATACTAGCTAATCGCCTTACAGATAAAGTAAGATGAAATTTTTTGTTTAACGGTGCCTTGTCCTTTGGTATAATATGATTCATTATGTTACTCGACTAAATATTCTTCATTTGTGATGTCCACTGCGATCTTAGAGTTCTTGGTATCTCGAGTGGCACCTTGACGTGTTGACACTGTGGGCCTTAGCTTGCACGGGCGAAGTCTCTAAGGCAGAAGATTTACTCGAAGGTTTGAAGGCGAGGTTGGAAAGATTTCTTTCTTTTCATCCTAATCTTCAGTTTAGATGTTCGAAACTAAGCAGAATTTCTTCTTCTGTAGACTATCTAAAATGAGCAAGAAAAAAGGAGGACTAATGCAGAGAGGAATGCAGGTTTGTTTGGGATACTTCTTTCATCATTTGGGTTTTCTTCATTCTTAATTTTCTTGAGAGGCTGGTTAAGGGTAAAGGGATATATCCATCGAGTTTCAGTGTGAAGATACACAATGTTATCTCTTCCTGTTTCCCGATCCCCCTCAGCACTTGTGAGTCTTAACTGCACAGTTTTTACTCTTGTTGGAACTCGTAACCTGACACTTATACCACTTGTTAGGATCAATCGTTTATCACTAGACCAAAAGTTATAGGTAGTTGAGAAGACGCAACTTTATTTCCTTACACCGTCACTTTCTGGAGAGGCAGTATTGGACTTTCGCCTAGACAGTAGACACCTAATGTTAGACTTGGCATTTCACTACTCTCCGTCCAACACCTCCGATGCTTCATGATCAATTGATCAAAGGATCATTATTTTGCTTTGGGGATTGGTCGATGTTTTCATTTAGAAATGCAAGCTTCTATGTTCTATCTACCCATTGCATTTTGTTCTTCTAATACTATTCCTTATATATTTTTTTATATATACATTAGCTCGCGGAAGCTCTCTTTCAGTATGGGAAGGGTGACAATAAAGCAGCATTGGAATTGCTTGAACCTGAGTTTGATGCAGTAAATTATAAGGTGTGTTTGGGAAGACATTCCCCTTTTGGTGTTACTTTCATCTATTCAACATCAATTACTGAGTAATACGACTTTACTGTAGATAATTGGAGCATCTGATGAACAAGCTGATGTTTTTAATGAAGTTTGGATCATCTTGTTGCTGAAAAATGGACATGCCACAAGAGGTACCCGTTTACGTTTTCCTTAACCAGATTATCCAAGCCAAGACTATCGGTTTTTAGTTGCTTAGCCCTTTTATCTCGAGATTTGGCATTTGCAGCTATAGAAGCCATTGAGAAGCAGCTAAAGAAAAGGGAAGGAGCTGTATTCTTGTGGCAGCTTCTCGTAAGTTTCTCGCTTCTAAGATTTTCTTTACTTAACTTTTACGAGAAGACTCAACCCGAGTTCACACCATTGATTGTCCAGGAGCGAGCCCACACAATGTTAGGGCGAAAAGAAGCCACAAGTATAGGCGAAAAAGCGAGAGCATTGCAGAACACTTACTTCAGTTAGCCCGGGGGGCCAAGTGAATAAATCTGAAGCTACTGCTTCATGTGAGGTTTAAAAATGATCAATCTTAGTAGCAATCTTGAGCATCTTAGAGACTAAAATGTACTGTCTTCTGGTTGTAAGAACATTGGACACTCCGAATAAGAAGCATAATAGATCAATGTTTTGGTTGATTGATAGATTTTGTGTCTTATTATTTTTGCAGAATAGACCATTTGCAATTATGCATGAAATGAAAGTAGTTCAAGGAAACCAAGAATTTATGTATTTACATTCTATCACAATGCAAAGAAACAGATGCAATGCCCTCCCTGAGGGGCTAGCTTAATTAGTTTGATCGATCACCTTAAAACTTTGCTCCAGTCACAGTGGGAGCTATCGGGGGGCGGGATCAATAGGAGACCTTGACCAGCTCCAGTGACAGTGTGGGAGTTTGAATTCTACCGAGAATCCGGGGTAAGTAGGAGACCTTGACCTTGAATCCCACCAAGAACCGGAGTCAATGGGAGACCTTGACCGATCAAATAGCGAGAAATAGATGCAAATTTCCACTCAATCAATTATTAGCCCAGCTCCATCAGGAACTACGGCATTGCTGGAATTGGAAGTCCTCAAAACGCCACTCCCCCGAGCACGGCTCCTGATCCGCCGCAGCTCGGCCGCCACCTCCCTGGCGTCGGGCCGATCATCCTTGTCCGCAGCCACGCACCGGAACGCAAGCTCCGCCACAGCGCCAACGCCTTCCTTGGCCTCCCCGTCGACCACGAGGACGGGGTCGAGCACCTGGTGCAGCAACCCCATTTGAATCTTGGGAACCACCATATCCGCCAACGTCATCTCACTCTTCTCCCTCGTCTGATCCACAGCTTTCATCCCGGTTATCAGCTCCAACAAAACCACCCCGAAGCTATACACATCGCTCTTCTCGTTCAGCCGGAACGACCTGTAGTAATCGGGATCCAAATAGCCCGGAGTCCCCTGGGGACCGGTCCAAACCTCCCCGGACGAATGGCCGGATTGAACACCGGGAGGATCCGAGCAAACCAACAGCCGGGAGAGCCCGAAATCCCCAACTTTCACCCTCATATCTTTCTCTACAAAAATGTTGGAGGTAGTGATATCCCTATGAACCACCGGTGGAACTACAGAGAAATGGAGGTACTCCATAGCCATGGCTATCTGCATTGCAATGTCCACTCTGAGACTCCACGATAACGACCCTTTCCTGTACAAATTCTTGGTCCCGTGAAGATGATCGGCGAGGGTTCCATTGGGCACGTAATCGTACACCAAAAGAAGCCCTCTCGGGTCACTGCAATAGCCATGGAGCTTCACCAAATTGGGGTGGGTAATGGAGGACAAGATGAGGATCTCGTTGCAGAAGGATTTCGTGGAAAAGCCATTAGCCCCGGCGGCGGAGCTGGGGTGGTGCTTGTGGAGATGTTTAACGGCGACGATTCGGGCATCGTAGAGCTGTCCCAAGTAGACGGAGCCGAAGCCGCCATCTCCGATCTTGCGCTTCGGGTCGAAGTGATTGGTGGAGGATTCGAGCTCTTCGTAGGTGAATTCCGGCGGGAGATGACTGGCGGAGCGGTGGCGGCGGAGGTAAACGACGGTGGGATCTTCATCGGAGTCCAGGGCTTTGTTTCTTGACCGGAAAATCACAGCTCCGATGGAGAAAATGATGAGAAAACACATGAAAAGGAACACTAAGCTCAGCATTGCGATTCTGTTTGGGGTTTTCTCCTTAATCAGTGGAGCCGGCGAGAGAGATGAGAAGCACAGGAAGGGTTTCATGGGGTGGGAGGAATTAAACCCACAAACGCCATTGTTGTCTCTACAAGATTTGCAGCTGGAGAAGTAAGGGTCTTGGTCTTCGTCCCACTCAACCTCAACCCCCATTTTAAGGAACCCGTCGAGGAATCCGAGGATGTCGTCGTGGCAACCCTCCTGAGAATCGCGGCGGCGCGTGGATCCACATTCGCGGAGGAGGTGAGCTGGGTTCTTGGTGAGCTTGCATTCCCACGGGCAGTGGCTGCAGTTGGGGAGGCTAGCGGTCCGGCAAGGGCGGAGGGCCGATAAGCGGGAGCAGGAAGAGTCCGAGACCCGGAACGGCGACCCGGAGAGAGAAATGGATCTCGCCGGAACCGACACAGAGCAGTTCCGGCGAGACTGATACATAGAAGAAGCAGGAGAGAGGAGCAGGGAGGTGGAGGCGGGGTCGTAGTGGCGAAGAGAAAAGGAGAGATTGTTAATGGAGATGAGAGCAAAGCGAAGAGATGAGCAGTGGATTTGGAAAGAAGGGTGGCCGCAGCCGGGGGAGGCGGAGAAGGGGTAAGGAGGAGGAGCGGCGGTGAAAGGCGGGCATGAGGAGGCGTTGACAGCAGAGGACGGCGGCGAGCAACCGTGAGCTAGCGCCGCTGCTGCTGTGATGAGAAATATTAGGAAGACGGCGGAATGCGGTGGCGGCATGGCGGAGCAAAAAGTGAGAATCTTTATTCTTTAATTTAAAGGTGAATCATAAATGAGGAAAGAAGAAGAAGTAGGAATCTGGGAAAATGTAGGATGAATATAGTGTTGATGTAGATTTGGTTTTGAGATCATTCATTCATTGATTCATTAGGGGATGGATGCCTAGGATGTTGGAAGAAAGTTGGTGGGTGTTGTGGAGGACGAGGAAGTTGGAAGTGGGAAGATGTAAGAATAGTAGAAGAGAAGGGGAGAGAGGTCACGTGAAGAGAATGGGATGAAGACAAATCTGTATAAAAAGGTGGAAGACCAAGGCTGTCAAATTTTTGTGATGAAAACGGCATAAGTGTAACTCTTCTAAATAGAATGTCACAATTTAAACTTCAATAAGGGTATTAATTTTTTGTACTTAAATATGTTTAAAAATATATATATATATATATATATGAAACAGATACTACGCTGTAACAGAATTAAAAAAAAATGAAATTTTTGAACAAACAACCTCTACATACTCTACCCTCATCATTTCATTCATCTATTTTTTTTTTTAAACACTATTCTTATTTATGTAGGTAAGAATGAGGAACCCGACTCTCATATAAATAACATAATACTCCGTTATGAAATTTAGAATTTTTTTTTTAGAATTTTGGTAATCAAACATCAGGTTCTTTATAACTAGCCTTAAGTTCTTAAGGACAAGGAGGTGAGATGTCTAATGATGAATGTATAAAAAAAGAATTTTTATATGTTGCTAGGAGCTATGCATAATTTAGGAACTAATTTTTACATACTAAAAATCTAAATTACTCCCTTTGGTGAATTTCTCATCAAAGTAATATGAGAAATTTAAAATCTTCTTGTATCCCAAAAATTCTTATTTGATTATCATTGTTGCTTACTAAGGGAAATTAGAAACTTGTTTTACACGCTTGAAGATGGTGATCAGGTGTTTCCTTGTTTATACTGAGTTTCAGGTTCCTTATACGATACCTAAGTTCCTAACAAGTTATACGAACATTATTTGAAATGTTTTTGGAGTTGAAGAACCTTGAAATAAGAAGTTGCGAAGTAAAATAATAATAATATTGCGAAAGTGATTTCAATATAAGAAAGAGAATAAAATGTGAATTTCATACTTTACCCTTCAAATAATATGAGGTTTTTGGATTTCTTTTTTTGTTTTTTGTTTGTTTTTTTTTTTTTACGAAAACCTAATCTCGATGACTAAACTTGTCACTTCGCTCATAGCTGAGGGATAAAAAATGAATACGGTTATAACTTAGGAACTGAGTTAAAACTTGAGTATAACTCAAGGACCAAAAATGAAAATTTTTCCGAAAAATATTTTCATAAGAAAATCCTATCATACTTATTGCCATGATAACTTTTCATACACAGTATCACTACAAAGTAAATGACGTTGTTGTACTGGTAGAACTTGATACAAACTTAAAACTTTAAAACTTTAAATTGGATATAGAGAGGTAATGTGTTAATCGACACTATAACCTTTTTTCTTTATTTATAACATTGTTATGCATGATATGATAAGATTTTAAAGATGATTATATGTTCAACTCACCCATTCATTTGATTTTCAATATCCATTTATTACTATCATTAGAATCTTTAAAGTTTATCCAACAAGGAGATATTGTACCTTGGGAGACATAACTTTAGCATCCAAGAATTAAAAGAAGTTATAGGTCAAACTATTCCAACGATATTGGCATCAACTATTGAGCAAATTAAAGAACAAATATCATTAGGAGAAACAATATGAAAAACATGCAAGCCCAAGCTATTCCCAAAGTATCGTCACCCTGACAATGCAATGATAATCTAATTTTAAATTTAATATAATTATAGTATATTAAAAGGTATAAGTATTCCACAATTAGCAAATAATTAATAGTGAATTATATTAGCTATTTTGATTAGTGAGTAATATTCGTGGTTTGAGGAAAGGTGTTTTGTAAAATTTAAAATAACTTATAAAGATATGAATTTATTGTTTCATTTATTTAACCATCCCTAAATTATTCTTTTTGTTTTACATATAAATTTTTAAAAAAATTATTATTATTATTATTATTATTATTATTATTATTATTATTATTATTATTATTATTTCCTTGTTGTTTTTAATTATTAGTGTTTCAACTACTACTATTATAATTACTATTAATTATTAATAATATTATTAATGTCATAATTATATTTAAAAAGTCATTTTAAATTTTCTAGAAGTAAATTAATTTTTTTGAAAATAAATTATAGTCAGTTGATATAAGAAAACTGTTATAAGTACCGTTATTATGTTTTTACTTATTGAAATCAATAAGTTAAGTTAAACAGTACTTTATCAAACATCCATTTTAACTATCTATTTGATAAAGTTTTTATCATGACGATCCAAAGCAATTCCAAGGAGATCGTGTGGTGGATTCAGGGACACGCGCGTCTCACTCCTAGGGTTGATCATAAGAATTATTATTCAACAATGTTGGGTGTGGATTGAAAGACCCTGGAAAGTTTTAGTACTTCATGTTTACTATTTGTAAAATCAGGCGACGGCCGAATTGGCCAATATGGTGTTCAAGTGTAAAAATAAGTGGAACAATTTTTTATACGGGCTTAGCTCAATGGTTTAGTGGACAATATTTGGGATAAGAGTGGAACAGTCTAGTGATGATCCTGCAAGACATGATTGAGATGTGCTCAAACGATTGCCACTAGATACTAAGGGCAAGAAAAGTTGCAACGCGAGAAGCCAATGCTCAGTGTCAAGTTTCCCCTCCCTTTGGGTGAAAAATATTTGTTAATCACTTATTTACTAAAGAGTAAATACCCAAAATGGTCCCTCGACTATAGCTAAATTCACAAATTGGTCCTCAACTTTCAATTTCACCCAATTAAGTCCTTAACTTTGCAATTTTGACACGATTTGGTCCTCCAATTGCAATTCAGTGAATGCCTCAATTACATTGTTTGGTTGGAGGGAATTGTAATTCCACAGAATTGCAATTCTCTCCTTTTGTTGAATTGCAATTCAATGAATTTGAGAAAGGAAAAACATATGAAATGACATTACTATCCTTGGTTGTTATTACTATTATTATTACAAAAATGATATTTTAGTCTTTATACCACTTATTTCCTTCTCAATTCCAATAATTCTATTTCTCCCCACCAAACAACGTAATTTAAATTCTTACTTTATTCTTACCTTATTCTCTTCCCACCGAAAATACTTGGTGTACTCCCATTTTAAACTCCCAACTTGTACTCCCTCTCACATGTTTTTGATGTAGACACTTTTCAGTGGACCCACATGATGAAAATAACCAATCCTGATTTACCACCTCAGAGAGTATAAATGAGTGAGTAGAATTTTAGAAGTCTATGTAGTAAAACTCTTTTCTCACCGAATTACAATTTTTTCCCCCCTAATTCATTCTTTCCAACCAAACGTCCGGTAAAAGTATTAGTAAAGAAAATAAATAAAGGAAGAAAATGTTGATAAAATGACAAAAATGGACAGAGGAAGTTAGAGCATCCACAATGGTTGGGAAGAATAGGGGGATAATGTAAGAGTGATTAGGAGAGAGAATGTGGGAAGGGGAGGAAAAAAAACAAAAAAAATCAAAATCAAAAATTAAAAAACAAAAAAAAAATTAAAAAAAAAAAAAAGAGTCGGGCGTGCCGTTTGCAGGAGAAATATTTCAACCAATAACTCCACTCCACACTTGTTATTATCCCCACCCGAAATAATTCATCTGATATTATCTCCATAATATCCACTGATGTGGATGCTCTTACCTCATTGAATCTTTTAGTTGACTTACGTCTGAATCACAGTTGACGTGAAAACTCGATGAATTTGAAAAAAAAAATAAAAATTGAGGAAACAATGGGCGGGCGAAGTGGACAAGGTGGGGGGCCCACACATTATTTTTAGCATTGTTCATTTTTTTTGATTGGGTCCCACAACCATTTACGAAACGAATTCCCATCAAACTCAAAGGTGTTCAAAATTCAAAGTCATGATTCACTCGTGGGCCCACCTTTGTCTTGTTATTTGAACTTCGCTCGAACCGTTTTTTTTTTTTGGTTTACTTATTTGAACCGGTTGTGTAGACCATGATCACAGATCAATACACTTGCTTGGATCATAAATAAAAAATATATTATTTATGTACATAAAATATATTATTTTATATATTATCAAATAGTGTACTTTTAATATATTAAAAATATATCTTATATTCAGAAAAATTACATTATTTAAATACTAAAAATACATTATTTTATATAATGTATATTTAGTACATAAATAATATACTTTTAATATATTAAAAATGTATATATGATCAACATAACACTGGGTGTAGATCATGATTCACATAATAATTTGTCCTATTTAAGCATTCACCCACCCGAAATTAGTGGGAGTTTAATCTATCCAAAATCTATACTTTATACCAATGGGATTCAAATGAGGACTGCATTTACTTACATTGTTTTTTCTTGTCTCTATTTTTTATTTTCATTTTTTAAATTATTTTAAAAATATACAAATGAACATTTTTAAAGGACACTATTACATCCTTTCAAAAAAAGGACACTATTACATTGCTTTGCTTTCTTCCTCTCCACTGACCATTTTTTCAAAGGACACGATTACATAAAACTTTTGAAAAATTTTAAATAATTAGTCTGAAAATTGATGAACATATTGGAGTCTACAATCTTAAATAAATACCATGATAAATGCACGAAGAAAGTTAACGTTTATTACTTTACTATTACTAAACTAATTACCACACACGCATTACGCAAATAGTCCGATACCTAATGTGTATTATTAAATTAAGTATTTCAGAATTGAGTTAATTGCTCTTTTGGTTCTGTGACTATTGAGGTGTTGTTAATTTGAGTACTTGACTTTAAAAACTATCAATTTAGTCCCGTAATAATGCAATTTTTAACACATTTGATCCTTCCGGCTAAATCGCCGGCCAAATATTGCTAGAAAAATATAATTTTTTTAAAATTGTTTATTCATGGGGGAAAAATGGTCATTTTAAGCCATTTCTTCTTCTTGTTGCGCCTGTTGAAAAGCAAAACACAAGTAATACACCGGAAAAGCAAAACTCAGGCAACCCACCGGAAAATCCACCTTTGAATGAATAATAAACACCAAAATTGAAAATCTTTATAGCTATAAACTTAATTTTGACTACAAAAAAAAAAAACTCTTTTATTTCACTGTATTGTCCTACCGATGCAATAGTCGGAAGCTAAAACCTCGCCGTTAAACCCCTGGAAAAACCTCCTGTCATCTTCATGTTGTCTATCGCGGGACGAGTTCGGAGCGCTTACCCGTGCCTGGAGCAGCTCTTTCTCCATTTTCGGTCCGTTAAGACTGATGATGGTTTTTCCTCCTCTCGGCGAAGGCGATCCAAGCTGTCGTCGTCGACATTGCTCAAGAAGGTGGAGGAAAAATCGGAGTAGTGGGTGGTTAACGGAGATATGCACGAGATTGGCGAAAATGTGTGTCTAAGATAACAGTTTGTAATCCCCATAGAGAACATCCCTAACCGCCGTAAGCAGCTTTGTGAACAGTTCATGTGCCGTACTCGCCTCGTCTTCAAAGAATCCGTTAGCTCTCTCACTATTACTTGCCATTAATTTCAGATATGCTAGATTATCTGGAAAGATTTTCACTTTGTTCGCCGTACTCGCCTCTCCTCCGCCTCGATTTTGCTTTTCCGCAAGCATAGCAAGAAGAAGAATTGGTTTTTTTTTTTTTTTTTTTTTTTATTAAAGAAAAAAAGAAATGAATTAAAATGACCATTTTGCCCCCATGAATAATTTTTTTTAAAAGGAATTATGTTTTTCTGGTAACATTTGGCCGGCGATTTGGCCAGGAGGACCAAATGTGTTAAAAATTGCATAGTTACGAGATTAAATTGATAATTTTTAAAGTCAAGTGCTCAAATTAACAACACTTCAATAGTCACAGGACCAAAAGTACAATTAACTCTTTCAGAATTTATCAAAGTATTATCTGATATCCTAGCGTATATCAATGCAAGATTATCAAATTTTTCATAAAAGTAAATATTTCAAGAATGCATAACTATGACCTATGACAGAAATGTTGGATTACCTAGTGTGTTGGGGGATGAAACAGATAGCGGGAACATTAGAAGGGATTTGTCAAGGGTTTTCTTGTCATTTCCTTTTGCTTTTCCGTTATAACCGTCTTCCCCTCCCTTTATATTGTATTGTGTTCATAGCTCAAATAATACCTTTCATCAAAATATTGACTCAACCCTTTTCCCTCCATTACTGGTCCTCTCTACATCATATGTAACAAATTCCATCATGGTATCAGAACGCTCCCACCACATACGCCACTGCTGTCTCCAGTGAAGGAAGTCAGGAAGCAGCGACTCCTCCGATCGTTACAACGACTTCGCAGCAGACTTCCAATTTTCAACAGCAGAGAAATCATACTGTGAAGGATGTGGAGAATCCATTCTTCCTCGGTATGAATGAGAGTCCATGCGCTGTCCTAGTTAGACCTCCTTTGACAAGAAGCTCCAATTACAATACCTGGTGTATCTCGATGAGGATCGCACTAGAGGTGAAGGACAAATGGTGCTTAATCGATGGCAGTGTTACGGCACCAAACATTGAACATCAACAGTATCTGGCATGGCTGCAATCTAATGGTATGCTCCTGTATTTTTAAGGCTGTGAATTCTTCTATTGCTCAAAGTATTATGCATTTAGACAAAGCAATAGATGTTTGGGAGGATTTGAGGCACAAATTCTCACAACATGATGCTCAGAAGATATCAGCTCTACAGAACGAGATATATAACCTTAAACAGGGGAATCTATATGTTAATGAGTACTATACTAAGTGTAGGACTCTATGGGATGAGATGAACAGGTTGAGACCTCTTCCATATTGCAAATGTGATCTGAAGTGTTCTTGCGATCTCATTGGTCAAATTAGGATAGAGCGAGATGAAGATCATGTTATAAGGTTTCTTCAAGGTTTAAACGACGAATATGGCAGCCTCAAGTCTAATGTGCTTGTCCTTGATCCCTTACTGGAAATATACAAAGTATTTGTTATGGCCGAGAAATTGGAACGGCAGATCGCTCTTGATAATCTGAGTATAAGCAGCATAGATCTTAGCCAAGATAATCCTGTTCAAACTGGAACAACAGATCATTCCCCTAACGAGATGGTAGGAGCTTTGAATACATACAATAATAGGCGAAATGGTAATAGCAACAAAAATGCTAAGTGCATCTTATGTGGAATGAATGGCCACACTATTGACAAGTGCTACAAAAAGCACAGATATCCTCCGGGATGGATTCCGAGCTTTATATCAAGAGGAAAACATTAGCAACAAGTAGCAGCTTCATCCAATTGTTTTGGTGACTTTGGCAGCACATCTGAACATATGCAAAGGCTCACATATCTTCAAACTCAAGTTGGACAATCCTCCAACACTACGACAGCAATGTCTTTGGTGCCAAAATTCAGCGAAATGAGTCCTGCAAACGAAGGCAAGTATTCTACCATTCATATTAATTCCATTTCCTTATCTCCCTCTACATGGATTATAGATTCCGGGGCTATGGATCATATTGCTTGTTCTCTTGACTCTTTTGATGATTATCGTTCTGTTTATGGTGCCGAGGTTAACTTGCCTATTGGAAATTGCATTACTGTTGAGCATGTAGGGAAGGTTACCCTTAACAGTGGATTGTGGTTGAAAGATGTTCTGCATATTCCAGTTTTCAAGTTCAACATAATATTCGTAAGTAGACTCATACAAGATGATTGTTGCAAACTAACATTCATATCTGGGCAGTGCATAATTTAGGACACTCATGGGAAGAAGATTGGTTTAGCTAGACAAGAGAATGACCTCTACATTCTAATGCAGCATCTACCTAGTGCAACTCACAATAGCTTTGCTGTTCAATGTAATAATGGTGAATTGTGGCACCAACGATTGGGGCACTTCCCCATCAATAAACTACATCTTTTAAGTGATATTAAAGTCTCTAATACCAAACACACAGCTTGTGATGTTTGTCATCTAGGTAAACACAAAAGATCTCCATTTCCTTTAAGCATTACTTCTTCAAAACATGTTTTGAGTTGCTTCACATTAACATATGGGGTCCATTCCCGGTGTGTTCCCTAAAAGGGGAACGTTATTTCTTAACAGTGGTTGATGATTATTCTAGGTTCACGTGGCTACACCTAATGAGGAACAAATCTTAAACTAAACAGGTTATAAGAAAGTTTCATGTTATGGTATTCAAACACTTTGGAGTTTTGATCAAGACCATCCACACTGACAATGGTCTAGATTTTAGTATGCCCAATTTTTTTAAAGAAAAAAGGTGTGATCCATCAAAAGTCCCACCCTTATACTCCTAAGTAGAACGTCGTAGTGGAGCGTAAACACCAATGCATACTCAGTATGGCTAGAGCCCTCCGATTCCAAGCTTGTCTCTCACTTGAGTTTTGGGGGCATTGCGTGATGCATGCGGTATTCATTATTAACAGACTACCATCATCGCTTATCGAGTTATCAAGCCCTTTTTACAAATTATATGGTAAGAATCCTGACCTCACACATCTCAGGGTTTTTGGCTGTCTATGCTATGCCTCCAACCTCACACCATATAGACACAAAATGGCACCAAGAAGTAAGAAGTGTGCTCTCATTGGCATACCAGCACACACTAAAGGTTATCTGGTATATGATTTGCTCGATGGTTCTATCTTTATTTCACGAGATGTGATATTTTATGAATCACAATTTCCATTCTCGGAAGCAACAATGGAAGCTCCAACAGACGGGCCTCCTTTTACCCGTCATCCCCATCTCCACTCCCTTGTAGTATGAGCATGGAGTCCACAAACATGAGTTGAGCATCAGTCCGATTGACAATAGTGCCATTCATCCCACAAAGTTCTTCTTTCCCTCAACTCAACAAACAGACTCCAATGAAGGTCAGAGTACCAGTAACAACACCATAGAGCGGTCGGAGCAACATACTCATGCCATGCAAGAGATCGATGACAATGCTATTGCCATACCTAGACGTTCTGATAGACAACGTCATGCTCCCAATAAGTATCAAGATTATTATTGTGATGCTGCCACAACAAGGGTTCATCTCCTCATGTTCTGTCCAAGTTCATATCTCTTAATAATCTTCCTCAGCCCGACGAGATATTCTCCATGGCAGTAACTTCCATTAACGAGCCAAAGACATATAACCAAGTTGTTCGTCATGAATGTTGGAGGAAAGCGATGAGTGCAGAAATCAAAGCTCTACAAAAAAATAGTACATGAGTGCATAAATAAAAGCTCAAAGCAGACGGCTCAATCGAACGATATAAAGCTCGGCTCGTAGCAAAAGGCTACACCCAGTAGTTGGGAATCGACTACATCGAGACTTTTTCACTGGTTGTGAGAATAACAACCATCCGGACCTTCATAGCAGTAGCCTCTTCTCGCAACTAGCACATCCATCAGCTCGACATAAACAATGCTTTCTTACACTGGGATCTAACAGAGGAAGTCTATATGACATTGTCACCCGGGTTCGAGACTGAAAAGCCCAACCAAGTCTGCAAGCTTCTTCGTTCCCTATATGGGCTCAAGCAGGCAAGCCGACAGTGAAACGCAAAACTAAGTACTGCTCTGCTGCATATGGGGTTCGTACAATCTAAATCCGATCCCTCTCTATTCACCAAAGGATGTGATGGTAAATTTATAGTCGTTCTTGTTTACGTTGACGACATTCTGGTTGCTAGTCCGGATATAAACCTAATCCGGGAGCTCAAACACTATCTTGATGATGCTTTTAAAATCAAAGACCTAGGTGAACTAGGTTACTTTCTAGGGATTGAGGCAAGAAGAGATGAAACTGGTTTGAATTTATGCCAGATGAAATATGCTCTGGACATCTTGGCTGAGGCAGGTTTCCTTGAGTGCAAGCCGGCTTCTACTCCAATGGTACCCGGTCAACTCTTAAGCCCTAAGGATGGCGAGTTACTCTCTGACTTTTGCTCTTTTAGAAGACTTGTTGGGCAATTGTTATATCTGACATCAACGAGGCCAGACATCGCTTATGCCGGAAAATCAGCCAATTTGTCGACGCTTCCATCGACAAGAATATGAGCGCTGCTCATCGTATTCTAAGATATATTAAAAGAGCTCGTGGCCAAGGATTGTTTTATCCTTAAGATGATGTTCTACAGCTCAATGTGTTTTCTGACTCTGACTGGGCATCTTGTTTAGAAACACGGAGGTCCGTCACTGGCTATTATATTTTTCTTGGCTCGGCTCTAATTTATTAGAGATCAAAGAAACAAATTACCATCCCAGATCGTCCTCCGAAACCGAATACAGAGCGATAGCTGCCACAGCGTGCGAAACCCATTGGATTTCTTTTCTTCTCAGTGACTTACAAATACAAATGATGAAACAAGCAGCTGTCTTTTGTGATAATAGGTTCGCAATCGCAATAGCCGAGAACCACGTATTTCACGAGCGCACCAAACATATAGAAATCGACTGTCATCTTGTTCGGGAGAAAGTTTCTCAAGGAGCTATCAATTTTTTATATGTTTCTTCTCAGAACCAAATTGCTGATGGGTTCACGAAGCACCTTCCCACAACTCAATTCCAAATTTTGACCTCTAAGCTGGGCATACAAGATTTGCATGTGCCAGCTTACGGGGTGGGGGTGTGGGGTGTTGGAGTATGAAACAGATAGCGGGAAGATTAGAAGGGATTAGCCAAGGGTTTTCTTGTTATTTCCTTTTGCTTTTCCGTTGTAACCGTATTCCCCTCCCTTTATATTGTATTGTGTTCATAGCTCAAATAATATCTTTCATTAGAATATTAACTCAACCTTTTTCCCTCCAGTACTGGTTCTCTATACATCACATACAACAAATTCCGTCATGGTGCAATAGCAATTTTAGAGAAAAGCATTCTCACTGGATAGTACCATAAGCATAGTTCTTGCAAGACAAACTCTATTAATTGGCGTGATCTATGCTTCCTCTTGTTGCCACTTCCGTAAGAAATGAATTCTTGATTTGATCTAGTCTCATGGTGTGCTTCACTGCAATTTTAGTGTCTTGGCATAGTTTCTCATATGTGTTGAATATATACAGTAAATTAGGTATACTGTTTCATCAATGCCAATGCGTGATTCTAATTAATTGACCAAAGTTCATGTTAAATTTTATATTGTATTTTTTTTAATATACTCTAACATATTCATATATAGTATATGCTTAACAATTATGTCAATTTTGATTGGATGAGGTTCGAACCTAAGACATTCCTTATGTAAATCAATGAATAATTTAAGAATAATAAATAATTAATGGAATATTCCGTTACTAAAGTTTACACTAAGGGCTCGTTTGGTTCGCGGAAAATATTTTAAGGGAAGTGAAATTGAAATTCCATGGAAAAACAATTACTAGGAAGATGAATTTCATTGTTTGGTTGGTAGAAAAAGAATTACTAGGAATACTAATTCTGTTGTTTGGTTAGATTTGAAATTGTAAGGAATAATGAGTATAAAGACCTATATGCTCCTACAAATTAATAAGAGTAATATAATTAAAAAAAGAAAACAATGGTAAAATAGGCAATCCATATTACTTTTTCCTCCCATCTTCCATGGAAAACAAAATCCTTGGTTGGACCAAGGATTTTGTTTTCCTCAAATTTGAGGAATTTATTTTCCAATTGGAAAATGAATTCCATGAACCAAACACCAGAAAACAACATTTTCCTCCACTTTAAGGAAAATATTTTCCTTTGGAAAACATTTTTCATGAACCAAATATCCCCTAACGTAATACAAGGGTATTTAGAAAAAGTAAATGATATAATAGAGAGAGTAAAATAAGAAAAATTATAAAAAAAAATACTAAAATCAAAATAATATGAATCATTTATTACAACAAACAATTACACCAACAATTTTTTTAGTTCCTATTAGATGACTAACTTTATTGGTTCTTATTAGGTTTGTAGATTTTACTCTCAAGCACCGTATAAAGATATCCCCATCATTATGATTGGGGGAATGAGCTGAGGTAGAAAGTCGGGGGCGGGAATATGGGTGTGTCCCGCGCCCTGTTGGCATCTCTACTTGCAATGGCTTCTGGAAGTTTATAATGCAAGAACTATTAACCCCGTACGACAATTGTGAGACAATTACTTAGGGGATTTATAAAAATGAGGAGAGCAATATAAATGATAAATAATAAACAAGAACGTAACACTCAAGGAATTGATATCGCAATTGGAAAACACCTCATATTCTGCAGGGCCACGTTCAAAACTTTTTTACTAAAGATCAACTACTGTTTTTATAAATACACAAAATTCAAATGATTTACTAAATTCTAAGGCAAATTATTGTATGGACCATGGTCCACACAACTTGAGTGGACCATGAATATAGGATACATTTTTAATATACTAAATGTACATTATTTGTGTATTGAAGGTACATTATTTGATAATATATATAAAATAATGTACTTTTAGTACTAAAATAATGTACCCTCAAATAACGTATTTTTAGTATACAAATAATGTACCTTTAGTATATTAAAAATGTACTTTTATTTATGATCCATACAATTGTGTGGACTATGGTTCATGCAATAATGATTGAAATTCTAGCTAGGACTCCCTCCTATTTGTACATCAACCTTGTATAATAACTTTATGAAAAAATTTACGGGATGCAATGACAATTATACAAAAAGGACCTACCAGATCATTCACAAGAATAGTTTGTACTGTATAATTTCAGGAGTTGAGCGCAATTTAGCACCTTAAATATAAGGTCTCTGAATATTTCCCGGGACTTGAGATATCCCCTTAAACAGTTAAACTCCACATTTCAACCTTTACAATCTCTCTATTTATAGTGTGGGACATCCTTGATTATCCCTTGATTTTAGGCATGTCCTCCCATGTATATATGTTCACATTATGCACCACGTAAGGCATGATTTAATTTTGCATCATTATCGATCCCATGTTCACACCCACGTACTATAGCTTTAATTTGCCCATCATATTCACATTTGTTTGTTTTGTATGCATAATTGAAGCATGTGCTATATCCCAACTAAAAATTTAAATTAATAATTGAATTGCATTATATGCTTAAAATGCCTCTCACGTGTACGGACAAGTTATTACATAGACCATAGTCAAACTCTGATATTAAATTAAAGTATGTGCTCTATCTCAACTAAAAAGTTAAACTAATAGTTGAATTGCACATTTATATTTATATATATTATATGCTCAACATGCATAAGCATACTAAACCACTTAACCACTACATGCATACTTTCCCATTTTGATCACCCCCCATTTAACTTTGCAGCACAACATGCACACGTACACCATGCATACTCTTTTGTTAGTGACTGTTTCTTCATTCTTCATTCATAGCACAAGCAACACTTGTTCTGTAATCATACATCTTCATTTGAATAATAAACACACCATCATCAACATATGTCAATTATAATTTGGGATGGCAATGGGCCGGGGTCGCTCGGGGTAGGGCTACATCTATCACCTGACTCACTTTATATTTTCTTCACCCGCCCCTACCTCTTCTCCTCCCCCCCAATTCGCATCAAGTGGACTTTTTCAAAACCCACGCCTACCCCATTGGGTGCGGGTGCCCATGGCTTATTTTCTTATATTATTAAAAAAAAATTTAAATAATATTTAAATTACTTACACATGATAAAATAATAAAATTCACTAGTCATATTAAAATATAAAATAATGAAAATATTTAAATATAATAACTAAATTTTTAATTGTTTAAAAATAAACTTATTAGTTTAGAACTAAAAATAATAAAAAGTTAGTAATAGTGTTAGAAACTTTTATAATTTAACTACATACTAGTACTTATATATACTTATATATATATATATATATATATATATATATATATATATATATATATATATATATACACACACACATGGCGGGTCAGGTGAGATTTTAGGCGGGTTTTATGCATAAAATTCGAATCTAACCCGACCCACAACAAGTTTAATTTTTTAAGACTCATCCCCGACTCATCACCCACTATCATACAAAAAATATCGTATTAATGCGGGGTGGATTCGGGTGCATATCCACAAGACGGATTGAAATTGTCATCCCTAATTATAATTTGTACAAAAATTAAATCATAATTTTATACCAATTTAATAGCTTCTTAACAGTCCACCATGTACATATATATGTATATACCAACCACAAAAGGCTGTAACCATGCATATGGCTGGTTAAGGTTCTATTTTTGTTGATGATTTCTTTGGTAAATTTTGATTTTTTCAAGTGTTAATGTTACATTCCACATGAAATATACTAGTACAATTTTAATTTTTGTATTGTAATTCAGCAGCCCATTGTTCTTTACTTGAGTATTCAATTGAAGTTCCTCCTAAATTCTAATACGTATAACATACATACAGATGAAAAGTACTGTGCCATGATCCCAAATATTAATATCATATTGGATTTTATTTACAACTCTTTCAATACCTGTTATACATAGCAATGTGCGCCCCACGCCTCCCAAAACGATGCCGTTTGGTGCATTATTCAATTTTTTTTTTTTTATTTCAAATGCACATAAACTCATAACAGAATACACATAATGAGATTTGAGCCGTTTGGACGGACGGAGTGACGTCAACAATTGAAACGCGCGCGTTTTGTGCCTGGGCGCACATTGCTACGCCGTGATGCACGATATAAATTGCCCACATATACAAGCTATTATATTAAATGCCTCCACTGAAGCTTAAACTCATCACCTCTCACATAGTGTGATAGGGGAGCAACTTGGTACTGTTGGACCACAAGGTCCTTGGTTTATCCATTTATTTATATAAGGGCATAAGGCTGAAGGGTTGAACCTATGCTTCAGTTTGAACTTAAACATAATTGGTACAATCACTAATCAATCGTTATGCTGTGGAACCATGTCCACCTTGCAAGGTGGACACAGTTTTATGTTCATAATTACTGAACTATATGCTCATAATTATAAAACTATATACTCATAATTTTTTAACTTCATATTCATAATTATTAAATTCTATATTCAAAATTACAGAACTATGTTAATAATTACAGAACTATATGTTCATAATTATAAAACTATATATTCATAATTTTTGAACTTCATATTCACAATTATTGAATCTCTATATTTATAATTACAGTACTATATGTTCATAATTATGTTCACAACTCTATATTTATAATTATAGAACTATATGTTCATAATTTTTGAACTATATATTTATAATTATAAACAGTTTTAGAACTGTGTCCACCTTGTAACTAGTAAGGTAGACACGGTTCCATAAAATAATTTGCCGCGAAATTAATGGCAAACAATTTTATCGCAAATTATGAATGCACCATGCGCATGGTGCATACGATGCAAAACAACGTCGTTTTGGTTAAAAAACGCGCGTCCCACTTAAAAACGAAATCAGGTTCGATTCCCGGCAATAGCATTTTTATATATCCATAAATTCATAACTATATATCCATAAATTCATAACTATATATCCACAAATTCATAACTATATATCCACAGTGAATGAATGAAGTAAAAATCCACAATGAATGAACTAAATATCCCCAATGAATGAACTAAGTATCAACAATGATTGAACTAAATATCCACAATGAATGAATGAACTAAATATCCATAAATTCATAACAATATATCCAGAAATTCATAACTATATATCCACAGTGAATGAATGAAGTAAATATCTACAATGAATGAACTAAATATCCACAATGAATGAACTAAATATCCATAAATTTATAACTATATATCCATAAATTCATAACTATATATCCACAATAATACTATTACCGAGAATCGAAGCTGAATTATTATTTTTTAAATAAGACACACGTTTTTAGTCAAAACGACGTCGTTTTGCATCGTATGCATCATACGCATGGTGCATTCGGTGCACAACATAATTATTGCAATTTTATAGTTTGGCTCCAAAGAGGCAAACTTCACTTCTCTTACACGGACGGGCTAGCCCATAACACTAATAATAATTCAACCGGTGACGGGCTAGCCCATAACACTAATAATAATGTTTTTTTTTTTTGAAACCTAATAATAATGTTTAAACAACTCTAAACGAGATTGTTTTAGATGGCAAATTATTCTGTGCAAATCAACGTCGTTTTGCATCAAGACGCGCGTCCTATTTAAAAAAAAAAATCAGTTTCGATTCACAGCAACAACATTATGTTGTTCATTTTTTAGTTCATTCATTCTGAATTTTTAGTTATGAAATTATGGATGTGTAGGTATGCAATTCTGGATTTATAGTTATGAAATTATGGATGTGTAATTATGCATGGTGTAGTTATGCAATTCTGAATTTTATAGTTATGAAGTTATGGATGTATAGTTATACAATTCTGGATGCATAGTTATGCAATTCTGGATTTATAGTTATGAAATTATGGATGTGTAGTTATGTAATTTTGGATGTATAGTTATGAATTATGGATGTGTAATTATGCAATTCTGATTTTTATTTTTATTTTAATTTAGAAGTCAAAACGACCTCGTTTTTGCATCCGTATGCACCATGCACGGTGCATACGGATGCACAACATAACGATTGGTTTTAGATGAAGTAAAACTCTAGCTAATTTCTAACTGGGGCAAAAAAAAAAGGATCAAAATCAGTAATAGGCAAATGACCAATAGTTATTTTGTGGACCGTGCTCCACACAGTTGTGTGAATCACTAATTTGCTGCAAAGGATGCATGTTAAACTAAAGAATAAATATATATTAGAGTTAATTCCATGAATGACTATTGACATTTATTAATTTTTATTTTTGATTTTCAATTGTACCATAAAAGGTCTCTTGACTATTGACATTTACTAATTTTCATCATCAACTTTCAATTCAACTATAAATGGTCAATTGACGATTACTTTTGTTCAAAATTCGATCGTCTAGTCAAATATCAATTAAAAAAAAAAAATTTAAAGATAATAATGTAAAAATTTTAATTCTTCAATTTGTTCATCTCAACAACATGCCAATTTTTACATTATTATTCTTAATCTTATATTTAATGTTTACAAAACAAATTTTTTACTGAAAGATCAAATTTGGAACAAAATGAATAGTCAATGGACCATTTATAGTCAATAAAATGAAGAAATATCAATAATTAAGGAATCATTCCTCTTTTAAAAAATGAAAGAAATAAAAATGGAGGAATAAAAGTGAAAATGTTACCCAATATTAATCATGCCTTAATAATGGCACGCGGTTGATTAACCGCGTTGAGTACCTAATAAATGGCTGGCTGCCGCCTATCATGTACATCACCTACCTTAAAAAAAACTTCTCAAATACACACATTAATATTAATATTGAATTCATTGCCCACGTTAACATTTCACAAAAACACAAAACAAACACCTCTAACATTTTCTATTCTTCACTTTCAACTTTCAACTTTCAACTTTCAACAACTAATGGACCACTTCCACCGCGCCAAGACCGTGCGTCTCCGGAGCAACCACGACAAGTTCTTAACGGCGGAGGAAGATGAGGAGTCAGTGACTCAAGATCGGAATGGAGCTGCCAAATCTGCCCGATGGACCGTCGAGTTCTTGGAGAGTGCCAATAATGTGATTAGGCTTAAGAGCTGCTATGGAAAGTATTTGACTGCATCAAACCAGCCCTTTCTGCTGGGGATGACAGGCCAGAAAGTTGTTCAGTCTCTGCCCCGTCGCCTTGATTCTTCTGTGGAGTGGGAGCCTGTTAGAGATGGACAACAGGTGAAGCTCAAGACGCGATACGGCCAGTTCTTGAGGGCGAATGGAGGCTTGCCGCCTTGGAGAAACTCGGTTACTCATGATATCCCACATCGGACCAGCTCTCAAGATTGGATCCTTTGGGATGTCCATGTTGTTGATATTCAGGTGATTCAATCTCCGGTTGCCAACCCACCTCCTCCTCAATCCTATCCTGAATCAAGCCCATCTTCACCTGTTTCATATAAATCTTCCAGCTTTTCCAGACAAGAGGTTAGTCTTTTAAGTTAATTGCATCAAAACATTCTTGGAACTTGTCCTCTGATCTGTTGATATTGATTTTTTTTTTTTTTCTGATTCCTCTTTGCAGTCTGGTGATTCTTTGGATGTTTTTCCAACGAAAACCAGTGAAGGGAGGCTGATCTATTATCATATTACTGATGACTATGGGGAAATTGATGAAGCAGTAGAGGAGCTCTGCATATCGTTCAAAGGGAATGGTGTTGAGGAATTGAAGAAGATATTGGAGGAAGAGACAGGGCTCGGGGATATTATTGTGTGTACAAGAAGTGTGTTGAATGGGAAGCTATATCCTCTTCGACTGCAGCTTCCCCCAAACAATGCAGATATGCATGTTTGCTTAGTTCCATCATCATCTAAGGGTGAGTTCTTATTTGCTTAGGATTAATTGAACAAGCCCCGCACGGTCTTAGTTCACTTGTTCAGTAGACAGTATTTGGGAGAAGAGAACAGTGTTCGAAACTGGCAGTGTGAGGATTATGCCCAAAGTAGGTAGATCCCTTGTGCACACACCGGCATTTGGCCCTGTCAGCTAATGAGTTACTGTGATTTACATCCTCTCAAATGCCCTGAGCGGGGGTGGGGGTGGGAAGGAATGTTAATTGAACAACAGACATATTGAACAATGTTCTATCAGTTCAAGAGTTCTTATTTGCCTAGTATTGATTTGTTGATTTGTTGTTTCAGTGGGAAGAGACTTCACAGAAGCAAGAATCCCATTGTAAAGAAACTTCAGCAGCCTAGATGTGGATACACAAGAAGAATGCATGTTTTTTTGGTTCTGTTACTGTGGCTCAGAGTTATTCAGAGTATAATGGAAGATCAATCAGAATCAGTGATTTTATCTTCTTGGACTTGTATCTCCCTCCCCTGGTAGGGAAACTGAGAAAGAGAAGGCAAGAAAAAGGGGTGAAAGAAAGAAAAACTCCATGGATGGAGGGTATAGGGGATTTTGGTTCTTCGAAGAGATTTTGTAATGAAAGTTTGATGTGCAATACTGCAATCATCTCCTTAGAGATTAAATTTTTTGCTAAATTGTATTACTTGGCAGTAATCTTGAAGTTAATATATCTTAAACACATCTTTCAGACTAAAATATTTCTTCCTAGCAAAAGTAGAAATATCTTACTCCAAAATAAGTGATAATGGCATCTTAAAATTTTGGATCTTTGACTTCTACTCTATTTTTTCATGTTAGAGTATTCACTTAAAAAAGTGTAGACAAAAATCTTATGGCACTAATGTTAGCAAACAAAATGAGTAGAGCGCATAATCTTGCCTAAAAATGTATACAGAATCTATTTACAATTTTGATTGATACAAGCTGCAACCTAATTCACCAATAATCCATGCAAGAACAGGAGCCATCTCTAAAATGATGGAATCTGATACGATCTCGAATAATAATTTCCACATCGAAGATTCTGGATATTACTTTGATGACATTATGGCAATCGTTGCAGATGCGCAAATTTTTAAATACACGAATGGGCATACCTGGTTTTGAGTTCAACAGTCCATATGCTACAGCTAATCTCTCGCTATGCAGTCTGAGTGAGTTATCCTTTCCACCATCAAATTCATCAACCAGAGGTGCTTGTGAAAAGTCGGGAGCATACCCTACAGACTTCAGTTTCTCTTCGATAACATCCAAAAATTCGTAAATTTCATTCCTCACAGGATGTGAGGTATCTCCAGCAAAAAACTCATGGGAAACACCATCTATTTCAATTTGACTGCATCCCGGTTCTTTTGAAACGCCCTTATCAGCCATAAGTTGCCTAATCAACCCAACCTCATTCCACTTCTTAGCTGCTGCATATACTCTCGACAAGAGAACATACACACCACTGGAAACACTGTCATTGGAGTCCATAACTTTCTTGGCTACTTCTTCACTCAGTCTTATGTCCAAATTTTTCTTGCAACAACCATCCAGCAGGCTCCTCCAAATTACAGCATCGGGTTGCATTGGCATGTTCGACACAACATCGAGGGCTTCATCGATGCATCCCTTGCGAGCTAGGAGATCAACGAGGCAACCATAGTGCTCCAAAACAGGTGCGATCTTGAACTCATCGACCATCCTATCGAAATATTTACGACCTTGGCTGACCAAACCTCTGTGGTTACAGGCACTCAACACACCAACAAATGTGATGGAATTGGGCATTATCCCACCACTCACCATTTTGCTGAAGCACTCCAGGGCCTCATCAACTTCCCCATACATTGCAAACCCTAATATCATCGAATTCCAAGAATGCAAATCGTGTTTACTCATCCTATCAAATACTTGAACAGCCATTCTTAATGACCCACACTTGCAATACATATTAACCAAACAATTGTTTAGAAGAACATTAGTGTTCACATCAGCTTTGTAGTTTCTCACAATATATGCATGAGCCCATATCCCTAAATACAAAGACCCCAACCCTGAGCAAGCACCTAACACACTCTGCATTGTAAACCCATCCGGCTCAAACTCTATCTGCACCTTCCTAAACATTCCCAACGCTTCCTCAAAGTTGCCAAACTCCACCAGCGCATCAATCATGACATTCCACGAAACCAAACTTCTCTCAGTCATTTCATCAAACACCCTTCGCGCATCCTCTAAGTAACCGCACGAAGAATAAAAATGGATTAAACTATTGCTCACATATACATCGGAGCCCAACCCATGTTTCAAAGCTTGCGCGTGAGCTTGTTGGCCTTCAAAGAAAGCAAACAAGTAGGAGCAGGCCTTGAGCACGAACGGGAAAGAGTGCTTATCAGGGGGAACATTTGCGGTGGCTAACATCTGCCTGAAAATCAAGAAGGCTTTGTCTTTGCGGTCGTGACTACGGGCGGAAGCGTGGATAAGGGTGTTCCAGATGAAGGAGCCGGGGTGTCGAATCTGGTTGAAGAGGCGGAAGGTGTAGTTGAGGTCGCCTAAAGAGGAGGCTAAGTTGAAGAGGCGAGTGTAGAGGAAGACGGTGTCTGGGTGTTGGGGCTCCGCCGTGGTGCGGAGAGCGTAGGCGTGTACTTGTTTCAGTTCAGACATGGTGGTGCATTGTGACAAGATGTGGAGGAGACGGTGGCGGTGGTCGGTTGCGGTGGCGGTGGGGCAGAATGCTGCTGGGATTGTTGCCGGGAAACTCATACTTGCTCCTCTAGATTGTGTGAGCCATCCTTCGTCATCCATATCTACCCATTCGTTTTGCTTAAGTTTTGTTTTTTTTTTTTGTTTTTAAATTATAATCTTAAAATTTAAAGATTATTAAAAAGAGGAATAATGTTCAAATTAGCCATTGAACTATACAGAAAAAATGTAATTGAGCCATTCAACTAAAAAAACATGCAATTGACTCCTTAAACTAACACAAAACATGCAATTGGATCCAAATTGACCTGTCCTCCAAGTTAACCGCTGACATGGCGGTTAATCTTTAATAATTTATTTATTTATTTGATTTGATTAGTTTTAAAAGTTTAAAAAAAAAAACACGCAAAACCAATCCCTCCCTACCGCCCCTTCATCTCCGACTAGAAACGAGATCTGCAGTTCGTCTCCGATTGACTGCACAAAAGAATTCTCATGCTAAGCTTTACTCTTCTGATGCTTGTACTGAGTATATCTCCAAAATTCTCTTATAGGAGACGAACTGCAAACTTCATCTCCAGTCGGCGACGAAGGGGCGGAGCCGCGGAGGGTGGATTGGTTTTACCTTCTTATTATTATTATTATTATTATTATTATTATTATTATTATTATTATTATTATTATTATTACTTTTAATATTTAAAACTAAATAAATAAACAAATAAATAATTTATTAAAGGTTAACCGCCATGTCATCGACTAACCTAGAGGGCAGGTCAATTTGGACCCAATTGCATGTTTTTTGTTTAAGGAGTCAATTGCATGTTTTTTTAGTTGGATGGCTTACTTGCATTTTCCTGTGTAGTTCAGTGGCTAAATTGAACTTTATTCCTTAAAAAGACTTTTGATCGGACATATGTCTCCGTACAAAATTAAACTAGACCATCAAATATATTTACTGATCTATAAGGGAACTGATAAATAATAGTCCATCTTATTTACAAAATAATCATGTCGTTTCAAGTCAAATAATTATTGCATACTTGTAACAATCAGCATATCGGTAACATGTAGATAAACACAATACGGAACATTGTAGTTAGTCATTGTGCAATGACTTGTTCTTTAACAAGCATCTACATGTCGTATTTGAGCAAATATCAATTTTGGTCCCACGAGTATTAGCAAAATGACGATTTTGGTCCACATGTTTAATTCCTACCAATTTTCATCCACAACTATTGTTTTAGTACCAATTTTAATCCACGACTATTATTTTAGTACCAAGATTCATCATGTCGGTCACCCATCTATTTAAGACATCCCGAAATCTAAAAATTTTAAGGGCATTTTCATCCATTTCAACCTAAGATTTCAATTTGAGCATAAATAAATGAATTTAAGTCCTAAGAACAATCCCAATTCGCAATTCTCCTCCTCATCCTACCTTAATTTGAGGAGAAAAATTGCGAATTAGGATAGATCTTAGGGCTTATTAAATCCCTTTATTCATGCTGAAATAGGAATCCTAATTTGAAAAGCACGAAACTACCCTTAATAATTTCATATTTCGGCATGTCTTAAATGAAAGGGTGATCGGCGTGATGAATTTTGATACTAAAACAATAGTTGTAGATGAAAATTGGTATTAAAACAATAGTCGTGGATGAAAATTGGTAGGAATTAAACATGTGGATCAAAACTGTCATTTTGCTAATACTCGTGGGACCAAAATTAGTATTTGCTCTGTCGTATTTCATACGAAATGACACGAGACTCACCATAAGTTAAATAATGTTTACTAGTCTTATTGGAATTCTAATATTCAATTAGAATTCTTATTACGGGAAACAATTTTACAATAATTCATTGATAAATTATTATTCGTCATTCATATTCTTTTCTTTTTTTTTTTTTTGGAAAGGACGTCATTCATATTCTTAATTCTTAAGATAGAAGAATTATGAAAATTGTGTGAAATAATATCAAATATTAATAGAGTCATAATAAAAATAAATAAAATATTTATTTATTATATTAATGAGTTAATACCCAAAATCGTCCTCGACTATCGTGGTTTTTCTCAATTTCGTCCTAAACGACTTTGGTGACCTAGCATCGTCCCAGACTTTTGTGTTTCGCTCAATTTAATCCCAGACTTTTGTGTTTTTGCTCAATTTAGTCCCTCATTTGTTATTCTGTCAATTTGGTGTTAAATAAATAGACAATTCAGTAATTTTAATATTGGCATCTCTTTACTCATAGACATGTGAACTGCGAAGTCCCTTTTTTTTACGAATTACTCCAAGAATTACTCCTAAAACTGCGAATATAAAATTTGATTTGCAGGTCCGGGAGTAATTCTGGGTGTAATTCGTACAAGAAAGAGGAATTTCGCACTTTACAAGTTGAAAGTAAAGAGAGATCAATATTGACATTATTGAATTGTCCCTTTATTTAACACCAATTTGACGGAATAACAAATGGAGGACTAAATTGAGCGAAACACAAAAGTCTGGGACGATATTAGGTCACCAAAGTCGTTTAGGACGATATTGAGAAAAACCACTATAGTCGAGGACGATTTTGGGTATTAACTCTTATATTAATTGTATTAGAATATCATGCCTAAAATAATAAATGTTGTCTTCTAAATCATACATGTCTAACAGGATGGAGCACCGGTCTAGCCTCTGTGATTAATGTTCAGTTGAGTCGCCATGATTTACAACCTCCCACCGCTCTGTCGGGCCGGAGTGTGGGGGGCCCTTAGGGTTGGGGTTCAGCCTTTTGGAAGAATGTCTAACAGGATGGACTAGAAAAATTTACACAATTACATTTATTTGCGAAGATTTATTAAGTCCATTTATTACTTTTTCTTTTTTGAGTATTAATGATTTTATGACATCTCATTTGGTATAGTTATAGATGTGTCATTAAACTACAAGTTACTTGACAATTCATCTATTACTCTTACAAAAGAGTTAATTATCAAAATGGTCCATTGACTATAGCGAAATTACCAATTTGGTCATTGACTATTTTTTTGAACCAATTAAGTCCCTCAACTTTAAAATTTTTAACCAATTTGGTCCTCCGTTTGTTTGACCGTTAGTTAACCGTTAACTTGTGACCAAATTGGTAATTTCGCTATAGTCAAGGGACCATTTTGGTAATTAACTTTAGGGGTGGGCAATTCGGTTTAGTTTTCTCGAATCGAACCGTACCGTACCGAACTAGTTTGGTTCGGTAATATACCGAACAACTGAACGGTATTGGATTCTTGTATACCGAACGGTTCGATAAAAAACCGATCTAAATTGTTCAGTAAAAAATTAAACTGAACCGAATACTGTTTGATTTTTTTTTAAAATAATAATAATAATAAAATAAATAAATAAATAAAAAGTAAATTCAAGTCCCTTGATGCTTGCTCTGCCGTTCAGCTCATATTCTCGTAAATATTTTATTTGATTTCTTTATGGTTTGTTATCAAAAGTTCTATATTATGTGTTATGGTGTTTACATAGTCCATATCCAAAGTCTAATATATACAACAAAATAGCAATTCAAAGTTCAAACGGTATTCGGTTCGGTTCAGTTTTTACCAAACAATTCAGTTCGGTTCGAGTTTTTACCGAACCGTTCGGTATACAAGAATTTATTACTGTTTGATTGTTTGGTATATTCCCGAATCTAACTAGTTTGGTACGGTTTGGTTCGAGTGACGCGCCCATGTAGCGAAGGCACCCCAAGATACTTTCCGAGGTCAGCAGTGCGCTCAATATTCAGAGAACCCGCTATGTCAGAGGCCAGGTTCGGGTCCGTATTCGTTGAAAAGAACACTTGGGACTTGCTAAGACTTATCTTCTGACCTGACGCCGCACAGAACTGATTCAGGCAAGCCTGAATTACCTCAACTTGGTCGTGAGAAGCCTCCGTGAACAGCACCATATCATCTGCAAAACAAAGATGAGTTAGAAGAGGGCCCGTAGGAGCGAGCTTAATCCCTTTCCACCTGTTTTGCTCGGCTTCCGAGACAATTAAATGACTAAGTCTCTCCATGCATAGGACAAAAATGGCTGGAGACATCGCATCCCCCTGCCGGATGCCTCTCGCTGGTCGAAACGGCTCAAGCCGTTCCCCATTCCAGATGATAGACAGCTTGGATGTTCGGATGCAATTCATGATAAGAGTAATCCAAGGATCGGCAAAACCTGCCCATTGAAGGGTCTCCTGGATAAAGTCCCAGGATAAGCGGTCGTAGGCCTTCTCGAGATCGAGTTTGATCGCCATAAGCCCCTTCGCTCCCTTCTTTTCCCGCATATAGTGCATCACTTCCTGATAAATTAGCACGTTATCGGAAATCTGCCTCTCGGGAACAAAAGAGCTCTGGAACGGGCCCACAATCTTCGGTAGAATGAGCTTGAGCCTATTGGTGATTGTTTTGGTGATTATCTTGTAACTGACGTTGCACAAACTTATCGGCCGGAACTGTTTGATGGTTTCCGGGGCTCGAACCTTCGGGATAAGGGCAATCAGAGTGTCGTTGATATCATCCGGAAGACTGCCAGTTGTCACTGCCGTGCTCACTAAATTGTAAATGCTCTCCCCTGTCGTGCCCCAAGTGTGCTGATAAAACGCCGCGTGGAACCCGTCGAGCCCCGGTGCTTTAAAAGGCTTCATCTCCTTGAGTGCAATGTGAACTTCGTCCATTGACACAGGCCGGTTGAAACAGAGCCAGTCCGAGTCCCTTAGGCGCGGAAAATTTGCCCCCAGCTGAGTGCGTACGCTCCCGGCCTGATCCTGCGAAAAAAGAGAAATGTAAAAATTCCGGATGTGAGCCCAGAGTAGAGGACCATGTGTGAGCCACACTCCATTCTCGTCCATAAGACGAGTAACCTTGTTGCGAGCTTGTCGCACTGTGGCCGCTGCATGATAGTACGCCGTGTTCCTGTCACCCGAGTGGATCCAATCCTCCTTCGACTTCTGAAACAAAATTAACTCTTCTTGGTGTAATGTGTCTTCCAGGTCAGAACGGAGCTTAGCTTCGAGTTTAATTAGGCCTCCGTGGTATCTCACCGCTAAAATCCTCTGAATACCCTCAAGCCAAGCCATGAGGACTTTTTTGCGCTTGAAAACGTTGCCAAAGGTAGTTCTATTCCACT